ACGCGTTTTCTTTAATGTTGGATCTTTGCATGCCGGATAAACCGGAAGAAAAAGATTTCGATAGTTTAGTGGAGTTATTCAATAACCATTTTAATCCAAAACGTGCAATATTCGCGGAAAAGGAACAATTTTACGGGGCGCGTAAGGAAAAACATGAATTGTGTAGTGATTGGGCAGCGCGTGTTCGTAGATTAGCAACGTATTGTAACTTCGGTCATTCTTTAAACATGATTTTACGTGATAAATTTATTATCGGTTATAATGACGGGAAAATTAAAGACAAATTGTTTCTAAGCGAGGAAAGTGTTACGTTTCAAGAAGCGGAGAAACAGGCGAAGACGTACGAAACACTAGAAGCCACTAGATCACATCAAATAGCCAATGATCAAGCGGATTTTTTCTACCGACGTGTCAATAACCAAAACCCCGGAGCAGCATCAACTTCTCGAAAAAGTGAGACGGCCGTAAAACCAGAGCCTTTGGACGTACATCTGGTAGGGAAAGGTAAACGTTTCAACAACCAGCAAGGTAAGAAGTCTAAATTTAGTAATTGGGACAAAGACGTAAACACTAAGTGTAGAGTATGTGGGAAAAATTCACATGCATCTACAGCGTGTAATTACAAAAACTATCATTGCCACAAATGTGGTAGAAAAGGACACTTACAGAGTGTTTGCGCCAACAAAAACATTCAACCACGGAAAACCGCAAACTCTCATTTTGTGGACGTAGACGATGACCTGGACACATTGTACAGTTTAGACATTAACAATCAATTTTTGTTACCCATTCGCACTATTAAAGACACAGAGAGTGGCGAACCAATTTTAGTTGATGCGTGTTTAAATAATGTGTATTTGCAATTTGAACTGGATACGGGTTCCGCGGTATCTGCAATGAACGAGTTTTTATTTGATACACTTTTTCCAGACGAAATTTTGGAAAGAACGAAAATTAAATTAAAAGGTTACAGTGGTGAAATTATTACCTACTCCACTAGGTGTCGCGTCAATGACAATCACATGCTCAAACAATAGGCATCCAATAAATATTTTTGTAATTAAGTATGGTGGACCACCAATTTTGGGACGTGATTGGTTTTGTAAAAATCAGCAAAATTTTAAAGTAATTAATAATGTGAACCTGTTTGGCGGCGACGTGGAGAAACTAATTTATAAATACCCTCAAGTATTTAATAATAAATTAGGCACTTTTACGGAAGCAGTGGTCGATTTAAAACTTAAAATAGGGACTGAACCCAAATTTTTTAAACCCCGTCCACTTCCCTTCTCGTTAAAAGAAAAGGTGGAACGCGAAATTAATAGGCTAGTGTCTGAAAACGTCCTATCTCCAATAGTCATGAGCGAATGGGGAACACCTATCGTCCCGGTATTGAAGAGAGATGGATCTGTCCGAATATGTGGTGATTATAAAATCACACTAAATCCATATTTGAAAAATGTGAGCTACCCTCTACCCAGAATCGAGGACTTATTTTCCAAATTAGCGGGTGGTAAATATTTTACCAAAATTGATTTAAGTTCGGCTTATCAACAAATTTTATTAAGCGAACAGGCCAAATTGTTATCAACCATAAGTACACACTTGGGTTTATTTGCGTATAACCGAATGCCGTATGGAATTAAAACAGCTCCATCCATTTTTCAATTAATAATGGAGAAAGTTTTAATTGGGTTGGAAGGCGTTACGTGTTTCCTTGACGATATCTTAATCGCGGGAAGAAATAAGGAAGAACATCTTCTTAGAATAGATTTGGTGCTTAATAAATTAGAGAAGTATGGATTAACAGTGCGAAGAGAAAAATGCAATTTTTTTCAAAAATCTGTTAATTACTTAGGGTTTGTAATAGATGAAGAAGGGCTCAGACCTTCTACTGAAAAGGTAGATGCATTACTAAAAGCTATACCTCCTAGAAATAAATCGGAATTAAAGTCAGTATTAGGAATGTTTAATTATTATCGTGCTTTTATTCCAAATTTTGCCAGTATGTGTGAACCACTTTATAGGTTGTTAAAAGACGAAAGTTCTTGGATTTGGAATAAAACCTGCGATCAAGCATTTGAGACTTTGAAGAAAACGATATCTTCTAAACATGTATTAGCACACTACGACTCTGCAGTTCCTGTAAAGTTGACAGTGGACGCTTCTTCAACCGCAGTGGGTGCAATTTTGACACACCGATACGAAAATGGAAAAGAAAGGCCAATAGCTTTTGCGTCTAAAATTTTGACAACCACTCAGAGGGCTTATTCTCAAATAGATAAAGAAGCTTATAGCATAATTTTTGGTGTATCAAAATTTACGCAGTACCTGTATGGTCGTCATTTTGTATTAGTCACCGATCATAAACCTCTTTTGTCGATTTTTGGGCCAAAGAAAGGTATTCCGATAATGGCAGCAAACCGTTTACAACGATATGCTGTATTTTTGTCAGCGTTTGATTACACCATTGAATACGTTAAATCGGATAAAAATGTAGCAGATTGTTTATCTAGATTGATTGAAGACAATCAAACCGAGATGAAAAATTACTTGGACGACGACGACGAAAACTTTACCTACTTAAATTTAATAGAAAAACAAGATATTTTTCGGCTTGATAAGAAAGTTATTCAAGAGGAAACTAGGAACGACGAAATATTGCGAAAGGTATTCGAATTTGCGTCACAAGGTTGGCCAAGTGACTGCAAAGAAGAGGAACTGAAACCTTATTATATTAGGCGAGACCAAATTACAATAGAAGATAACCTATTGATGTGGGGACATCGGTTAATCATACCATCACGTTGCAGGAAAGAAGTTTTAAAAGAGATACATTCGACACACATGGGAATAGTTAAGAGTAAATCATTAACTAGATCATTTGTATGGTGGCCTTCGTGCGATAAAAACGTCGAAGAATTTTGCAAAAATTGTTTAGCTTGCTCTAAACACAGAAACAGTCCGCCGAAAGCTGAAGTGATTGAGTGGCCAAAAACTGAACAGCCGTGGGAAAGGGTGCATATTGATTTTTTTGGTCCACTGCATAATAAAATGTTCATGATTGTGGTAGATTCCCATTCGAAGTGGATAGAAGTTGTTTATATGAAGAACATTACTTCGGAAAATACAGTAGATAAGCTACGAGAAATATTTAGTCGGTGGGGATTGCCAAAGATCGTAGTAACTGATAACGGACGTTCATTCGTGTCGGAATGTTTCAAGCATTTTCTATATATGAATGGAATTCAGCATATTACACCACCACCATATCATCCTGCCACAAATGGGTTAGCAGAGGTTTCGGTACGTACTGTAAAAACTCATATATTAAGGGCCATGGAAGAAAGGAATTCCACAGATCTTTTTGCGGCATTAAACCGTTTCCTATTGCACTACAGGAACAGCATTCACAGTAGTACGGGTGTTACTCCAGCTGAACTCTTGATAGGAAGAAAGCTACGCATGCGATTGGATCTCATTTTACCGGAAGAGCAGCTGAAGCGACAGCATTTGCGTAAAGAGGAACGAGGGAGAGATCCGAAGAGACTAACAAGAAACAGTGCGGAAGTGAAACGTAATAAAGTGAGTGCGAGAGGCAATTTTAAAAAAGGTGATCGTGTTTTTGTGCGCGATTATGGACGTGCTAAACCGAGTTGGGTACCTGCAGAAATTGTAGAACAAAACGGACCTCGAAACTATAAGACATTAACTAACGAAAACTTTATCTGGAGAAGACATTCGGATCAAATAATCAAAGGACCTTCTTACGATGATGACGACTTATTAGATTATTATTCACGTCCTTTGACTGTTGATTCAAATGCAACTATTGTTAATAATGTTGACGATGATGTAGTAGAGGAATCTGCAGTTGGAAAGGCTAGTTCTCCGGAACCAATTAGGGAAGCTGAAACAATTGCAGATGATTTTGTAGTAACTAATTCTAGAAGTATGTTGCGCCCAACCAGAAACAGAAAACCTCCTGACTGGTTCGCAATAAAATAACTTATGTTATGTGAGGGAGGAATGATATGTATTTGGGAAATTGTTATCTGAGAGCAGACTTGCACCAGTCGCGTAATGCAAGTCAAAGAGCTCACGCGTTTGTATAATGTAATAGTTTTGCAATAAATGTATTTCAGTATCCTTCCGTTATATGTGTATATATCCAGGATATCTAAATACAAAACAGTTTCCCTTCCCCTAAAGTTTAAAAAGGAAATGCACCCTAAATTTATCACAATAGTATAAAATTACTTTCACCGTAACACATACCTTTACCAATTAAACGTGTGGTACTGCAGCAAACAATGCAAACCAACACTCGACAGATGATCCATGTAAAGTAATATTTGGATACCTGTCCACCTTACTGTGCTCACAGAAACTGTAACACTAGACTGCCAACAATAATTTAACCTTCCTAGTACCGGGTGGGGTGAATCGTCACCCCAGGTTAGCTTATTTTGTGTATTTATTGTCTTTAAGGCATTATATTGTGGTCTTATTTTTTTACATTGTTCTTTGAACATTTAACTACATAGACAAACAAAAAATTAATCGATAGCGTAAGAAACTTCCAAGAAATTTTGAAAATTAGAAACGAAAACACGGCTGGGGTGAGGATTCACCCCACGTGGTAGCGGGCGTTTTAAAGTTTTACAAAGGGGTTTATGCAATTTTGTCTGAAATTCCTTTACCACCAGTCCGCAAATGATATATCAGATAACCTGCATATGGTAATTTAATTCCCCAGTAATTACTCAATTATCCTAATGGAGTTATTTGTCTACGCGGTAATTAGTATTGTTACCCAGTACATTGAAAAGACCTACTACTATTGTTTCTTATTGCTTGTTATCTTTTTGGATAAATGTTCATTATATAGGTATAATGTACCTCACTCCAGGAATGTCCTGTAATTGTATAAATAAGTAATCGCAATTTACTAAAATTTATAATTGGTTCTTCGACGTTAGTGTAAAGACTGTGAAATGATTGTGTGTGTTTTGACAATGGCGAATATAGTTTCATCTCGAACGAAAAGGATTGTTCACTTAGCTCAAACTTCTTATCATTCCGGTGAGTAAAATTATCCATGCCAAATTTACACAGCACTAATTGCTGTATGTTTGTAAATGAGGAATTCGAGAACTGCAATCATCCTGATCTAGACATAGACGAAGGTTCATCTTCCGAAACGGAGAATAACATCGAGAAAATAACTGAAGTCGACGATGAGATGACGGTCGAGTCGGGTGACGCACAAGATATGTTTTTCGCCAAGGATGAAACAGTTTGGCTAAAGGAACCTTTCAAGAGGAAGCGACAGCGATAAAAAAACGTAATAAAAACTCCTGAAGGTGTTATTCCCCAAGTACCTAGAGATAGCAGCATTGCAGACGTTTTCAAGTTGTTTATATCTCCCGAAATCATCCAAACTATAGTGACCTACACAAACCAAAGGGCAGCTTACGAAATAGATAATCACAACGACAGTGAAGAGGGTTTGGTTTGGAAAGATGCAGATGAAATTGAGATATATGCCTACATTGGATTGCTGATATGCTCCGGAGCACTCAAAAGCAACAGGGAACCTGTAGTCATGCTCTGGCAAACCGACCCATGTTTCCAACGTCCAATATTCTCAGCTACAATGCCGCGAACGAGATTTTCTCAAATTTCAAGTTGGATGCGCTTTGACAATAAAGACACCAGAGAAAATAGAAGAAAAACAGATAAAATGGCACCTATAAGAGACTTATCCGATAGCTTCATAAATAATTGTAAAAAGTACTACAATTCTGGTTCTCATTTGACCGTGGATGAACAACTAGTGCCATTTCGTGGTAGGTGTCCATTCCGTGTATATATGAAAAGCAAACCTGCCAAGTATGGCATCAAAGTTTGGGTACTGGCGGATGCAGAGACGCCGTACTGCAAAAACCTCCAAATATATCTCGGAAAAAAAGGAAATGTTCCAGAACGCGATCAAGGTAAACGAGTTGTGCTAGATTTGGTTTCGTGTTTGGGCTCGGGTTACGGTATCACTACGGACAATTTTTTTACTTCTCTTGAGCTAGCCGAAAACCTACTAGACAGAAATCTTACCTTGTGCGGAACACTGAGAAGAACGAAGACATTTCTACCAACGGAATTTTTACCTTCTCGAAAACAGCCAGTATATTCCTCGATTTTTGCTCACCAACCGGAGGTTACTATGGTATCATATGTGCCCAAACAGAACAAAAGCGTAATACTGCTGTCCTCAGAACATCGTGAGGGTACCGTTTCAGAGCAAAATCACCAGAAACCAGACATGATAAATTCACTATAATTCTACTAAGGGTGCAGTTGACGCCCTCGATAAAATGGTAGCGGAATATAGCTGCAATAGACAGTCAAAAAGGTGGCCAGCGGTTGTTTTTATGAATTTTATAGATGTTGAGGCAGTAAATGCTTTTATTTTATGGGAAAAGCTACAACCAGCATGGAATGCCCAGCATTTGGATAAAAGGAGGCTGTTCCTTCTTGAATTAGGAAAACAACTGGTGGAACCCCATATGCGAAGGAGGATAAGCAACTCGAACATTCGCTCAAGAGTAAATAAGAAGACCATTCAAAACATTACTAAAATATTAGACGACATTGCAAACCAGCCTGATGAAAATCGGAAAGAACAAGTGGAACAGGTGTGTGAATCTAGAAAAAGAGGAAGGAGTAGGACTACAGATAAGAAGGTGATATCGAAATGTGTAGAATGTAAAAACTTTGTGTGCCCAGCCCACAGCAAGACGACAAAAATATGTGATAAATGTAATTGTTATTAAGTCTCATTGAATTTTTGTAAATAAATGCATATTTTTAAATACTTTAGTCTTTTATTAGACAGAAATTAGGTAAACGTAATTAATAATCATATAACATATGTAAGTAGCTAAGAAAACTAAAAAAAAGTATGGGGTGAAAATTCACCCCACGTAGTATTGGACGTTTTAAAAATCACCTGGTACTAGGAAGGACAAATTTCCCGCAGAGTGAAGTTTATGTTGCACAATTGATTTATCAACTTTCAGATTTTTTCTGATAATGTAGTTACATTGTTTTCAATATAATATGCAGAACAGCTGCGCTTACCATTTGGCATTATAGTTTTTGGCACGATTTCGCTCCACTACAGGTGACAAGCCGGCTATCCGGCCGGTGCCGATAGCAGCCAAGCAAGTGCGCCGCTAGGCGGACCGCGGACGCGCACGAGCTGCATATAGAAATATCATTTACTCGAAAACGGTAAGACCTATCACTAAAATTCTTTCACCAAAAACTTTTGGTGACTGTCAGCTACAATTCGTACGATACATGTATAGAGATTCCTCAAATAATAAAAAAGTTTCTCGCAGAGTGAAGTTTACGCTTCTCAATAATCGATTTATCGACTTTGATGACAATTATCATAATGTAGTTATATGATGTTTTCGATGTAATAGGCATAGTTAGAAGCGCTAACTATTTGGCACTATAGAACTGAAACAATTATAACAATATCTCGTGCGGAAGCCGAGATATCCCGGTGTAAATCTCTAAAAACATAAAATTTTTATTAAGGGTACACTTTTTAGTGGTTTTTTGACTATAAAAAATGTCATGACCACCGCAAAATGTCGTAAAACACCATTTCGGATGCAGAATTACAATATCTACATACTCTACTAGGTCTGATCTTGTTATACCTTCAAACATTTTTTTCCCATTTCTAGACGACTTTTTTGCCCGATTTCGCTCCACTATACGGTGATGTAGTCGTTCTTGGCCGTCGAAAACACCTTGTACGCATAATTCTTGAGACCGCCGCTCACGAATTCGACGATACGACTACCGAGCCCGTATGCTTCCACCTCGTCGGTCATGTCGCCAAGGAAATCACCCACAGGTGGAACCCACTCGTCCGGTCTTTGTGTAAAAATTAACGAATCTGTATCAAAGTACAGTACCCGTTGACCAAGCTTTTCCAGATAACTATACAGTAACAGCCGAGCATTGGGGGGTCGTATAAGCAGCCAATACGACATTGCCAGTGGTGAGCTCCACTTCCGCAAATACCGGAAGTAGCCATCAACTTTGTTATTTTAAATAGGAACCCCCTGTTTTTTCTACATTTTCGGATTCTATATCGAATTTGGAGTACAACGATAGTTGACCCTTTGCTCCAAGGGCTTTGTCGATATTCAAGTTTTTATGTCAAAAATTGAATTTGTAGGGGTAATTTTAAAAATGTATTATTCGAAAACGGCGAGAGATATTGCAAAACAGTTTTCACTGCTTTATTAAGGAAAGATTAAATTTATTTATCGTATGCGTAACCGTCTATAAAAGTGAGACTACGTCACTTTTTCAAAGCTCTCAACGTTTAAATTTTAAAATATCCATTACCCCATTTTTTCAAATGGCACCCCCAAGTAATATGTCGGCTTCGGTATATCGGCGTACGGAAGCTGAAATGTAATGGACGAAGGTGACGTGGAGCCACCGTTTCTGTATACCACAACGGTTCTTCGTAAAGCGAAACAAGAACCGAAGCAATTAAAATACAACATTGTTCACGGACCCGATCCCATAACGTGCCTAGAGCTAATGAAACACGAAGAACCATATGCGGAGACAATACACGACAATGACCAAGATAAGTTCTTTGTGCATTATTACTCTCCCGCCCAACTCCAAGTGTATAAAAACTGTTGGAAGACTGGTCACGTAAGTTTAGCGATAGATGCAACAGGATCTCTTGTGCGAAAACTCCAAAGGCTTCATGGCCCGTCAGGCCACATTTTTTTATATGAAGGTGTTATAAACACGGGAAAGGCGCAGCTGCCTGTTCTTCAAATGCTTTCTGAACAGCAAGATGCAAACAGCATATTATACTGGCTCAATGAATGGGAACGGAGAGGTGCGCCTTGTCCACACGAAGTAGTAGTTGATAATTCAGCGGCCCTGAAAGCAGCTATTTATCGTTCCTTTGGAAGATCAGCAGATACAGCAGGTTATAAAGAAAAGTGCTTCAGATATCTACAAAATCCAGAAACGACGATTCTTCCCCGGTGTTTTGTTAGGCTAGATGTTGCCCATATCATAAAATCTCCTTGTCGGTGGAAGGTTTGGACGAGTAGTGCTATGGAGCGTCTCCAAGATTTTTATCTTCGACTATTAGGTTTACTAATAAAATCCGACACTCTTTACGATTTTCAAATGATCCTGACACACGTTCTCTGTTTGTCATTAAGTGAAAATCAAAACCCACATACAGAACAAAGTTTAGAGATTGTGAGAGCGAAAATCATGGGTACAGTACACGATGGGATATATGAAAAATATCGATCAACATACGGTTGAAGCTGACAACGGGCAGGAGCAAGACACCGATTCCCTCCAGATAAGTAGGTGGTTGAAGAACATTACCGAGCTGGTGGAATTGCAATGCAGTACGGGGGCATTGAATCCATATTACGCTCCAGAAGTATTGGCCGAATTTCTAAGGTTATCATTGGATTTTGTAATGTGGTCTGCTGTCATGGTTCCTCATTTTCACTCACCAAGATCAAGAGCATCGTCGGCGATTGTTGAAAGTGATTTCAACGATCTGAAGGGTCGAATTTTAACGGGGGAAACCAAGCCACTTTTAGTGCATAAATTTATTGATAATCACATGCACTGGTGCATATCGCATAGTTTCCGCATCTCAAAAAGTTGCCATCCTACCCCAATCAACAAAAAGGCAGAACGAATAGAACGCTAAACCAGAATTTGAAGAAAGTGACGAAGTTGCTAAGGAACACAGTTATGAAGAGGAAGCATCTTCCACCGTTGAACTTAATTCACTTGAAAATTGGCGAAATCAGATAGGCAAAAAGGCACCACCCAGGAAACGGCCCAAGTATTTAACAGAATTCCCAGAGCTCGTTGTAGCATTACATGGGAATAAGCCTAAACCACCATCATCGAAATTATAAAAGAATGGAAATTTGTGCCCCTATCTTAAAATTGAAAGTCAAATGATAAAAATTTACAATTCGTGTGCCTTCGATGCATTGGTATCCTTGCAATGCTTATATTGAATTTGAAACTTATAGAATTTATATCGATAACCAAGAAAATCTTCCTACAAACTGCAAGGAGTCTAGCTAGAATAGGTGCAGTTAAAGATACATATATCTTACGTGCAAAATCGTTGAACCAAGTCCTCCGACCAAAGCACTCTCTTTTAATGTCCCTTAGGCACGACAGAAAAAGTACCGAAACACTTGAATACGATTGCACTGAAAATCTTGCCAAGTTGACCAACGATCTGCTTGGATCAAATTGTAGCCTTAGGCCGGATGTCCACCGCATCGGAACGACCAAGATCGGTGCGATTTGAATCGCTCGATAAAGATCGCGCGCGTGTGCTCCTATTGAAGCCTGTCCACAGGCTCGATTTTTTTCGGGACCGATCGAAATCGCAACCGACCATTTTCGCCCGACCCGACGTTCTTGAACGATCATTTGTCGGCAGTCGTGTGTCATAATAATCAAAAGTTCATCATCATTTAAATTTGTGTTCATGATTCGCAAGTTCATGGGCACAAATGAAAGCACCTCTGTTTCTTTTATTAGTTATGTACGGAAGAACCCAATAACTGTGGCGGCGAATTATCTTTCGCCTGTGGTGCAAAAGCATGACAACTGCTTCACTTGACATTTTATTTCATGTCAACTGTCAACCCGATAAAAATCGTTCGAAAGGCGATCTTCCTATGAACATGAATTGCCAATTTTAGTCGGCCCGATCAATCTGGATACGACTACAGTTGGACCGATTCTCGTCGCCCCGATTCGGTGGACATCCGGCCTTAGTTTAAAGACTCATAGTACCACGACAAGGAAGCAATTTAACGTTGTGGATACCGATCCACGTACAATTACTACCCAGGGTATGGACCACTTGGCTGAAGCTATCTTAGAAGTAATTGGAATACATGGTACTAGTGGTTTAGAGAAGATTAGTAGTTAGTACACATGAACATACTCATCGACGTTGATTACTTGGCTACTCATCTGCCAATTGCGCCACCCCATGAATTCAACAGGCCTCATTGTCTTCGTGAGGTTCCAACGGAGTTAAGTATTCAAGACAACATCAAAATATCGATTAGTGGGGCTTGTAGCGTATCGCCCCGGCCATTATACTGCATATACCCGAAGGGTTGCGATCTCAACGTGGGATCTTCACGATGGACTCGCAAAGAAGGTTATGACAAATATATCACCATCCGATTATTAAATTCAACGACGACATCAAAAACGCCTGTAGCCATATCCGTAGTTATCTATACCATACTATTGTAACGGAAACGCTCCAGACGTGACGTCGCCTTTGGCGCTCTGGAATTTTCTAGGCGCGCGATAGTGGGAATGTTACATTGCTTGCGTGTATAAATGGTTGCGGACCGAACATCGCAGTCAGTTTACTACCGAACGAGATCGAGTACGGACGAAACATTGAGCGCGAAAATCTGATATAAATTGCGAAGCGTGTAATATAAATAGTCGATATAAATTGTACAGTTTTTATAGTGTTTTAGTTTTGTTTAATAAATATTGATATACATCGAACCCGAATTTATAAAAAATCACGTTACACTATTGTAAATATTGTACGATGTTTTTATATCCATTGTAAGTATTCATTTAAAACATGTCAATAAAATCATTATTGCTGTATAGTTCTTTCTGAATAGGTATTGCGTTTTTCAATGTTTACTAATTCCACAGATTTCTTTGAAGTTGTCCAATAATCTGCAGTAGCTTTCTTACACATACTTGTTTCAGTACTCAGTATACGTTATAAAATGGCCGGTTTCTGGACCGACTCATGATAGCTCACTTTTGGTACGAATGAAACATCGTTCTATTCAATTGCTTAAAATATCGGCTAAAATAAGAATGGAATTGACATTTGGCAGTATGGTAAATTTTGCAGAATCCCACCCCACTTTGGACAATTGAGTCAGTTGTACCAGTTCAGTTGACTGACAATTTAATTGGGCAATGTTTGAATTTTGACCAATGATATTTGTTAGAAAAATTGTTAGAAACACTTCATTCTTAAATTTCAGATTTTATCATTTGAAAATGAAGCGGGTACTTACAAAAGACCACTGCTACAACAATAGTTTAACTTCAGTTCAGTTTACTGTGATCGAATAAAGAAATTTAATTGGTCAAAATTCAAACACTGCCCAATTTATTAAGTTCCTTAATATCAGTCAACTGAACTGGTACAACTGGTTCATAGTGTTTCATGGTTGACTCGATCCATTCTTAAAATGCCTAAACCTATCTGGAAAATGCCAAAATATATCCTCACGTAATTGCAACCTAAAATCGCCTAAATACAGCAGACGGGCGGACAAATATGCAAATATGCTCAGACAATTTCTCGATTACTATTAAAACGACAGGTAGTTAGTTCTACGGTAAAGTACCATCGTACATTTTAATATAAAAATTTTATTGTTTCACTAACAGTGACTATTAGAGTTTTTTACGTTTACCTAAAAACTGCACGTTTTTTACGGGAACCACCTCGACGTGAGAAAAATTTTATTTCATAGATATTTATCCTTGACAGATCATAGCATCCCTTTTTTACAACGATAATTTAAAAAACGGTGATCGCAATAGCCACCTAAAAATAAAAGCCTTGAAGATGAGGGTAATGGTATTTTGATTTCCAAATTTTTTATAATTAACGATATACAAAACATATTTTTTCTACAACTGTCAAAAAAACCTGTCATTTTCTGACGGATTTCGAAACGCGAAGTACTAGATTTTTAATCGGTTAATTAATAAGTAAGGTTGCTCTTGACAACGTGCGCGAAATCGTCAACAGTGAAAAAAAGTACTTCGCGCACGGGACAAAGTTGAACTTAAACAGCAATTTAATTAACAATCGGTTCAGTTGTAGAAAAAATATTGTATATAACGCTAGCGCGAAGTTATTTCGCGCATTTGACTGATATTTTAACTCGGCTTCGCCTCGTCAAAATACCTTCAGTCTCAATGCGCGAAATTGAACTTCGCGCACTTGTTATATAAATAACTATTTTTCCTCATTTAATCCAATTAATACACTTGTAGAATTGTAGAGCACCACCGAAAGTTAATTTGCCCATTTAACTTTTTTTAAAAAGATGCATATCGAGATGAAAAATATGATGACAGTACAATTTGCTCGCCCACAGACGATAAACAAATGACCTGCATTAATAAACAAACGAAATTATAATTTTGGGCGAGCCACCGTGAAGTTAGTTCGCCCATTTGGAATTTTTAAAAAAGACATACGGAAATGCAAACAAACGATAAAAATAGTTAAACAAACGTAAACAAACGACAAACAAACGACCTGCATCGATAAACAAACAAAATCATAATTTTGGGCGAGCCACCGTGAAGTTAGCTTGCCCATTTGAAATTTTTGAAAAGACGTACGCAAATGCAAACAAACGATGAATTTGGCTAAACAAACGATGTGCATACAAATAATATTAATATGAACAATGGGCGGTGCCAACTTCACGGACGTATGAGACTTTGCCCCTGACGGACGTTAAGCAGTATCAGGAATCGGAATACATTCTAGTAACAATTCTTTTTTAGGAGTACCGAAGCAATGACTAAATCCACCATGCAAGTATATTACCAAAATGTTAGGGGTATTAGAACTAAAATGCAAAATTTAATGCAGTCTGTGTTTGCAACTAATTACGACGTTATTTGTCTTACAGAAACATGGTTAAACCAGGATATTTCTTCAAGTGAATTACAAATTAGTAGTAATTACAACGTGTACAGGCAGGATCGTAATATCCTAACTAGTAACTTAAAACGTGGTGGTGGTGTACTTATCGCGGTGAATAAAACATTGATGTCTAAATTGATCTCAACCACTGTCGATAATGTTGAGCATATTTTCGTATTGGTTATGTTTCTCGGTAAATGTTACATCATAGGTAATGTGTATATTCCACCCAATTCACATTCAGACGTTTACGACTTACACTGTACTGCAACTGAAAATGTTCTTAATCGGTATCCCGACCACGTGCTAATTTTGTGTGGCGATTACAATTTACCCAATATCAAGTGGATCAACGACCAATATGGTCTTCATGCAACGGGCCAATTAAATGAATCAGGAACTATAGTAGCTGATCATTTTGCCTATCTAAATTTATATCAAGTAAATAACGTGCGCAATGATTACAATGTAATTCTAGATTTAGTGTTTACAAATGACTTTAGCTTGGTTACACACACAGCAGAGGATTTCTTACTTCCAATTGATCATTATCATCCCCCTATCAGTCTAATAGTTGAATCATGTCAACTTGGTGCTGATGAGCTGAAAGCTGATTATTTTTATTATGATTTTAAAAACTGTGATTTTGCAAACCTGAATTTGCACCTTTCGCTAGTGAATTGGGATTTATTGTTTTCCAGCTGTGATATGAATGTTTGTGTACAGTCTTTTTATGAACTACTGCATCATTTTTTTGAACTATATGTACCTAGAAGGAAAAGTGCCACTTCTAAGTTTCCTAAATGGTTTTCACGTAATGTAAAAGAACTTCTTGTGCAGAAAAAGGTTGCTCATAAAAAATATAAACAAACGCGCCTGTCTGGTGATTATTTAATATTTAGTGGTTTACGAACTAAATGCAATAAACTCATAAACGAGTGCTACAGTGACTATATTAATGTTACCGAAAATAATATTCACACAGACCCTAAATATTTCTGGACATTTGTACATGACTCTAAACGAAGCCATTCCTTACCTAACAGTATGTGTTACAATGGTAGTGTTACAGATGATCCGTGCGAAATTGCAAATTTCTTTGCCAATTTCTTTGATTCGGTGTATCCAAATGTGCGTGATACTTGTGTACCTGATTTTCAATATGTTAAGACTGTACATTTAAATACTTTAACTGTCTCTGCAAATGATGTTTTCACAAAACTTGAACAATTGAATACTAAAAAAGGTGTCGGCCCAGATGGAGTACCACCACTAATCTTAAAGGAGTGCCGTTTTACTTTGGCAAAACCATTGCTGTTCCTTTATTCGCTATCACTTAAATCTGGATACTTTCCTATACAATGGAAAGAAAGTTTTTTAATACCATTACACAAAGCGGGAGATAGGGAATTAGTGCAAAATTACAGGCCAATATCAAGAATTTCACAAATACCAAAGATTTTTGAAAAAATCGTTTCTGATAAAGTTACACCCATTTTAAATTGTTTATTGACCGATCACCAGCACGGTTTTGTGAAACATAGATCAACACAAACCAACTTAATAACGTACAAACACCACTTACTCAATGCCATGGAAAATCGTATACAAGTGGATGCCATTTACACGGACTTTACTAAAGCATTCGATAGGGTGTCTCACAAAATTTTGCTTGCCAAACTGGATGCAATGGGGGTGTCTGGTAATTTTAATGTATGGCTTTCTAGCTACTTATCCGAACGAACACAAACTGTATTGATACAAAATCATTTTAAATCTAAAAAAATCAAAATTACATCTGGTTTACCTCAAAGTGGTCATTTGTCTCCAGTTTTATTTAATTGTTTTATTAATGATGTATGTGATTTCGTAATACACTGTAAATACCTTTTGTTCGCTTATGATCTTAAAATGTATACTGAAATCAAATCAGTGCAAGATTGCCTTAATATGCAGCTTGACCTTGATAACTTGGAGAAGTGGTGTAAATTGAATGAAATGGAGTTAAATGTAGGTAAATGCAAATCCATCAGCTTTTACAGAATAAAAAATCCAATTAAATTCAATTACTGCCTAGGGCAAAAGGTACTCGAAAATGTGACATTAATTAAAGATCTAGGTGTTCATTTTGATTGCGAACTTACATTTACTGATCACATCAATATTACTGTTAATAGAGCACTAAAGATGTTAGGGTTTGTGAAAAGGTCGTGTGGAATGCTTAAGCGGGTGTCTTGCATTAAAGCTGTTTACATAGCTTTTGTCCGTAGCATTCTAGAATATTGTTCAATTGTCTGGTCACCATATTATGTAACTCACTCTGTCAGACTAGAAAAAGTACAAAATAAGCTGTTAAGATTCTTGGCATACAAATTAGGAGTTAATGTTGATAGCATAGACTACTCACTAATTAGGGTCATGGTAAACATCAAACCATTAAATCTTCGTCGACAAGCATCTGAGCAGATCTTCTTGTTTAAATTATTAAATGGAGAAGTTCATGCTAGTGAACTACTAGGTACACAGTCTAAATTTTCTGGCAGCCATCAAAAGAACTAGCAGCAAGAAATTATTTTACATTAATATGCATAGAACTAATTACGCCATGTTTACACCAGTTGATAAGATTTGCTCAGATGCAAACGGACTTAATATTAACATGTTTAGTGTACCATTTTCGAAGTTCCGGAGAGAACTGGAACATAAATTGTATGGTTAAGTTATTTGTAATTTTTATAATGGATATTGTCCGTCAAATATATTATTACATAAATTTTAAATTACCCCGACAGGAAAGGCGCACAAAACCTGAGTGTTGGCGCACAAATCAGCACAGTGTCTTGTGTATACGAGAATGATTGTGTTCCAGCATTAAGTTGGACCCCTAATAGAAATTTTTGATTTTCTCGTAAACAAGAACATTTGGGCATTGGCCCTCAAATGAGCCTCAAACGAACACAATATTTTAGCGATATAACAAAATGGGGTTTTGATTTAGGGGTGCTAACTTAACCCGATCGCTAATTTGTCAGGACTATGACCCGACGCTTAGTAAAAGTATTGGCAAATGCGAAATATGTGTAAAAAAAGGATACGCTTTGATGATACGAAAACTATGTTTGACGATACAGCAAATAAAAATGCAAACTTCGCCATACTGTTATGCTTTTGATTTAAAACACATGCCATCAAATCATTCGCTGTATTAAAGCTTTTATATTCTGGATATACGTTTGAATGAGTACAAAAGGGCATCATTACATTCAATCGAACTCCATCGGGTATGTAAAATGGCAAATTGGAGATAATGTTTATATACACATCTCATAAAAATGGTACAGCATTTGAATAAAATAGTATTTTGTGCCACGGATGAGCGTAAAATTTTACCGTATCAATAAATGAAAGTAATTGTTTGGAAATTGGGAAGCGAAGATAAAGCGCTTAGGATTTGATTGTGGGAAAGTAAAATCAAAGCGTCCGTTACGATTTCCTATATCGCGATACATCTGCGCGATTTAACTTTACTGTCAAAATTAGCTACAAAGGGTGTAACAGACCGTAAGGTATACGGGAATCTAAATAAGATCTACAACATTTCACACAAGTTCACAAAGCAGTACGAACGCTTACTTAGGACCATCACTTAAATTTTCTCCGCCTCTTCGATACGATCGTTGTTTAAATATGTAAAAAGACGGGATACATATCCGAACAAACAAAAGAGCGATTATACTGTTCGCTGTTAATTTAATTTTTGTGTATCCATGCTTATTACAATAAATTTAGTTCATCCTTTCGTAATTAAAGGCCGTCTGACACGATGCTAAATTTTTGGTAAAATTTGTGAATAGAATTTTATCATAAAAAATTTACTTCCATAATTTATTTAACAAAATTATATTGTCTGACACTGTACAAAATTTATCATAAAAATTAGTAAGTGCGTCTGCGCTTTGCATTTTTTTTCTAGGGAATATGGGTTTTTAAGTCAATAAATCTGGTAGTGGTACACCTACACATATAAATAACAAAAATAACATAACCTCTTCTAGTATTTACTTTTTTGATTTTTCATTATTTCATATTATTATCTATTGTGCTACTACTGGTAATTGTAATGAACCGAAATCTAATCGCTAGCTCGGCACTTGCCGCAAGTGTCATTGTCATTATGTCTTGTCTTCTAACAAAAAGGCGTAATAAACGTACTCGAATTTGGAGCAGGAACTGGCTGCAAAGGCGAAACGAGGGTCGTGATGTTTTAAACATGCTAAATACAGAACTTTTACCCGAGGATCCAAATGCATATACAAACTTTCTGAGATTAACTAACGATCAGTTCGAATATTTGCTGTCGTTGATATCAAATGAAATATGCAAACAAGATACACTAATGCGAGAATGCATCCCTTCCAGAAGCAAGTAGGTGATTAAAAAATTAATCATAGGCACTCACTTGTGCTATCATTTTAGATTAGAAGTTACCTTGCGATTCCTAGCAACAGGCGAGACATACCGATCCCTTATGTACACCACTAGGATACATGAAACTACGATAAGCCGCTTTATACCTGAAGTGTGCCAAGCCATAGTCTTGAAATTAAAACCAATCTATTTAAAAGTAAGTTATAGTCCGTATATTATACTGTCAATTTTTACGATATGAAACCTGGTATAGGCACCAAGAACAGCAGAAGAATGGAAAAAAATTTCTCAAGATTTTGATCAATTATGGCAATTTCCTCATTGCGTGGGAGCTCTTGATGGTCGCCACATCACTTTTAGGGCACCCATATCTGCTGGCTCGTATTATTACAACTACAAAGGTGCAAATAGCATTGTGTTATTAGCATTAGCCGCTGCCAACTACAAGTTCATTTACGCAAATATAGGTGTCAATGGACGAATTAGTGATGGGGGTGTTTTTCAGAATAGTAGCTTGTCAAGGGCACTACAAGACAATTCTTTGAGTCTACCAGCCCCAGAGGTATTACCAGGAATGACAGAAGCTTTACCGTATGTTATTGTTGCCGATGATGCCTTTCCGCTGTCAAAGAACCTATTGAAACCCTATCCAGATCGTGGACTCGGCAATGATAGCAGAATTTTTAATTATCGGTTGTCCCGTGCTCGGAGAATAATAGAGAATTCCTTTGGAATTCTTGCAAACCGATTTCGTCTTCTGTTAAATCCAATTAATTTAGATGCAGAAAAAGTAGAGTTGATTACACTCACTTGTGTAGTGTTACACAATTTTCTCGCAACAGACAATGCACAATCATATATTGAACTTGAAGAATTTAATGAAAACTTGCCGAAAATAAATCGACAGTGTGGTAACCGGACATCTATTGCAGCAAGAGATATTCGTGATCATTTTAGAAGTTATTTTAATTCTTCACAAGGTTCGGTGCCCTGGCAACAAAATGCAATAAACAATTTTAATTTGTGAAATTCGTTTTTATTTTACATATGCCTATTATTAACAATAAATACTACAAATTGTTACATTTTTTTAGGGCATCAAACAGTGTGTGTACAATTTTTTCTTCTGTCTGCAAACGAATGGATGTATCAGTAATTCGTTTTAACTTCGACACTATAAATTGAGCCAATGCCTCATCTTCATCTACGTTTTGTACAAAACTTTGCTGCATTGTTGATGAAATTGATGCTAAGGCACTAGATGCTTCACGCATTACATTATCTTCAATTGTTTCTCGTTTTCTTTTCTTTTGAAATTGCAGTCGTTTTGATGGAGTAGCACCATCTACGTCTTTTACCGGTGAAATAGGACGAGAAAGATTTGGTGAATTCAATTGGGAGTCGCGAACTTGACTCGATCCCGTGTCCAATGTATTAGTAATATCGTTGAGACTACCATCTTCTGTCACATAGTACTCTGATGTTACTATCTCCTCGTCGCCTACCTGCGGTGTGTCATCTTCTGCGATTAAGCTATCCACGGCTTGCCGCACTTCGACATGTTCTAACAAAAAGAACATTCGGTTGAAATACCAAATTGTTGGTTTGTAAATCTGCAGGAAAAATGTATAGTTAGTCAATAAATTAGATAATATTGAAGGTTTTGCTTACCCCGTCACCATCTTCATCACCTGCTCCACTACGGCGGCTGCGATTCCACTTCTTGTATTCTGTGAGAAAATTATTCTTCAGTCCGTTAAATTTTAACTTGATATCGTTGATGGTAACAGACGGCTTAAGGGGTTGCAAGACTGCTTGAATTTGCTGTAAAGCATTCTGTCTAGAATGTTTATTTTTATACTGTGCAGATTTTACTGCATATAAACATGCATGTCTTTGATATTCATCTATCAGCACTTCACATTGCTCCCGCGACCATGACATTGTGCAAATTCGTAATTTAGCACTAAATAAACCGCTCTCGTTCTTTCGCAAAAACGCCCAAAATGAGAATAATTGAAATTAAATTAGATAGGTTATGTGATATGTCACCTACGAAACGCCGAACCGCGTGCGCATCACGTACGCGCACATTTTATAACAAATTTATGCATTTTTTAGAACAGGATCTAAAAAATTTTATACAAACAAATTTTGTAACAAATTTTTGTACAAAATACGTATGACACTATGCAAAATTTTGTATGAAAATTAATCTGCAAAATTTTGTACAAAATTTAGCATAGTGTCAGACGGCCTTAATATATACTCACACAAAATTTGATGCTAGGCGTTCCTTCCGATTTCCCTATGTATAAAGTTGGAACAGATTCAAATAAGAACTTCTCTTGTGCATGTTCAGACACGTTTTGTAGCATATTTATGAAACATTTGCATTTTATTAACGGGATCGCTTGAAATGAGAACCTGTCTTTCACATAACAGCCCGATAATATGCGAAGCAATAGGCGTATATTATTGGAAAATAGACCCAATAAAAAAATGATTAGACTCAAATTGGATTCGCCCACTAGTCTTGTTATAAAATCTGATAAAATGGACTTTAAATGTCAGGTTGATTGCTTGTGTATTGAAATTTTTTGCAAGAACGTTAATTAAAAACTCAGAACGTCAAGATATTTCCTTTTATTTGCCTTTGTGTCGTTTGAGCTTGAAACATGTCCGTTTAAGAATCAATCGCCTTAAATCCCGGCATTTACGAGACACATTTGCAGCAATCGAACACGTTACCTGTTATCGAATTAAATGTAGCTTCCGTTTCACGATGCAGAATAATTGACATTTCAATTCTATGATGTTACTAACACTCAGTAAATCGATCCACCACTGACTGCAAGTGGTTTTATTAAAATCCCGTTTAAAATACTCAATAGGTTTGTTCGTTTGGTTATGAACTGGTTCTATTGGACATTTTTGTTCTAAAAGCGTTCGTTTGTAATTGTAACTACAAAAATTGACAGTTCGTTTGTACTCAGAACCTTGTTCTGGACATGTACTTTCAGTTCTAGATCAGAAGGTAGTGTAATTTGTTACGCGCATGTGTATTAGAGTTTTCGTAGTTTTCGCGGTAGTTTTTACACCTACATAACCTTACTGTGAAAAAAAGGAAAATGAATTATAAATGCACATTTTGTGAATTTGCTAATGATAATCAGAGTGTGGTAATTGAGCACTTAAGAGTCTTCTGTACCCACTGCACCCAATGTAAATTTCCATAAGAGCGCCCGCCATAAAAACTCAAGTTGTTTTTCAAAAAAAAATTTTTTTTAAGAACAATTTTATAAATTTAGACCTTTATCTACAAAATGTTCGGATTACTTTTTTAAAAAAGTTTATAGCAACTGAATACCGATTGTTTAAAAATTAGATGTTTTGTACCGATTATTGCACTAATCTGTTTTATTTTTTTACTCTCGATCAAGACTATTTATGGAAAAAATAAACCGACAGTTTTTTAGATAAGTTACTTCTAAACATTACCCCAAAAAATGAAATCATATTTTTTGTAAATAAAGTCTGTATCTTGGCGGGCGGTAAATCAACAATTTGAGTGTAACAAGTAGCGCCGCTGCACAGTGTCGACGGGAACTAACTAAAGACCAAAATTGGAGTTGATTAAGCAAGAATATCATCTTGTTTCTCGCAACTATAATCGTCTATACACCATAATGTAAAAAAGTTGCGCTTAGGTAAAGAAGATACCCATGTTAGCGTAGAATCAAAATCGCGGTAGGTAGGTTTATTTATGTTACAAAAAAGATAAAAAAAAGTACCTACCTATCGCTCACTGTTTATTACAGCGCATTCCTTTAATCATGCGTATGCGGTTACATTATGCGAAGGGGAAGAAATCTTATCTGAAAATCAAGAAATTATGAGGAATGAGGGTATTTCGGAGACCCAAACGGATAGCCAGGCCCAGGCCGAGACTGTGAACTGGAGCGATGCCGCCACCAAACTTTTAATAAGTCTGTATAAGGAGAAAAAGCCCCTGTTAGAGAATGGGAAGATAAAACCATCAAAGCAAATGTGGCAAAAAATATCAAATGAAATGGTATTATCCGGATACAATTATCCTCCACATAAATAGAAAACGTTAGAAGGGAGTTATAAAAATGTTATATATAATAAACACAAAACGGGGAGAGGAAGAAGTTTTTGTCCATATTGTAACGGAAACGCTCCAGACATGACGTCGCCTTTGGCGCTCTGGAATTTTCTAGACGCGCGATGGTGGGGATGTTTGCAGCGTGTCTGGTAAATGCGCGAATGTTCTGGACTTACATTGCTTGCGTGTATAAATGGTTGCGGACCGAACATCGCGGCAGTCTACTACCGAACGAGTACGTATGAAACATCGAGCGCGGAAATATAAATTGCGAAGTGTGAGTGATATAAATAATCGATATAAATTGTACGGATTATATAGTGTTTTAGTTCTGTTTAATAAATATTGATATAAATCGAACCCGAATTTATAAATAACGTTACATTGGTGACAGCGGTGGGATTAATTAAATTAATTAAAAGTAAGATTAAATTAAGTGCTTCTGCTTGTGTATGCCTGTAACAAGATCTGCTGCCGCTAAAATGGAAGAAACGATGCTCAATTTTCCAGCAAATCCAAAATGGCCAAATGCAACAAGAAATAAAAGTAAGATTAAATTAAGTGCTCTGCTTGTGTATGCCAAGTAACAAGATCTGCTGCCGCTAAAATGGAAGAAACGATGCTCAATTTGCTCCAGCAAATCCAAAATGGCCAACAGGTGTTGCAACAAGAAATGAAAAGCAACCAAGAGAAGTTCGAGAAGATGGAAGAAAATTCTAGAAAGATTAATGAAGAAAATTCTAGAAATATTCAAGAGAAGTTCGAGAAGTTGGAAGAAATTTCTAGAAAGATTAATGAAGAAAATTCTAGAAATATTCAAGAGAAGTTGGAAGAAAATTCTAGAAATTTTGAAGAGAAGTTCGAGAAAATGGAAGAAAATTCTAGAAAGATTAATGAAGAAAATTCTAGAAATATTCAAGAGAAGTTCGAGAAGTTGGAAGAAAATTCTAGAAAGATTAATGAAGAAAATTATAGAAATATTCAAGAGAAGTTCGAGAAGTTGGAAGAAAATTCTAGAAATTTTGAAGAAAAGTTCGAGAAAATGGAAGAAAATTCTAGAAATATTCAAGAGAAATTCGAGAAGATGGAGGAAAATTCTAGAAAGATTATCGAAGAAGTCTCTACATCAATTGAAGAAAAAGTTGAAGATAGAATTACGGAAGTTTCCAAAACATTTAAAGCAACATTCGTTGAGATTGAGCACAAGTATGAAGAGCTGCGCGAGCAATTCTTGCGACTGACTACGGAAGAGCGTACTAGTAGTGCCCCAGATGAATTACTGATGGACCGTCTTCTTGAGGTGCCACAGTCTACTCATTACAAGAAGGTCGACCCAGAAACAAATACAAGAGTAGAAGGCGACGTTCAGCAAGCCCGAGTAAAGCCACCTACTTTTGATGGTAAGATTCCTTGGACCACGTACGTTCGACAGTTTGAAGCAGCGGCTGCGGCAAATAAATGGACTCTTCAAGACAAAACTACAGCCCTGATTCTTGCTCTGAGAGGAGATGCTCTGGATGTGTTGCGGACTATCCCCGAGGATCAACAGAACTTCCAACAAATAGTAGCGCGACTCGAAATGCGATATGGCGATAAACACCTTCAGCAAGTTTACTATGCCCAAGTCAAGAACCGAATGCAGAAATCTGGAGAAAGTTTGCAGGAACTTGAAGCGGACATCGCTAGACTGATTCGATTGGCATACCCTACGGCACCGGAGAGCTTTCTTGATCAACTGGCTGTACAAACATTTATCGATGCCGTTCGTGATGGAGATGCCCAGCAGGCTTTGAGACTGGCTAGGCACGACAAAATTGAGAAAGCTTTGGCCCATGCGTTAGAATTCCCAAGAAAGCTAGTCATGGAAGTGTGCGAGTACGTATGGTGGAACCTCGCAGTGAGAGCCGGGTAAGAACCATCGAAGAGGAAGGTGGCTCTGAAAGTTTTGAAGAAAAGGTCAGTAAAGTAGTGGAAGAAAAGGTCAATAAAGCCATACAGTCACTGGCAAAGAAACGTGAACCACGATGTTGGAATTGCGGCGAGATTGGACACGTTCGCCGCAACTGCCAAAAACCATTACAGCAGTCGGAAAACTAAGAAAGGTCGACAGGAAGGGGCTATCGTCGACCTGCAGAAACAAAACCCCGATCTTCACTGTAAACATTACGTCGTCTGGAAAAGTTCTGAGTTTGTACATCGACGGCCGAGTTAATGGAGAAGACAGATCCTTGCTAGTAGACACAGGTGCAACAAGAACTATTGCAAGACCAGAGTTATTGAAGAATCATTCTCGGATCTCATCTTCGACCGTGCAGTTAAAAACAGCAACTGGTGAAAGAATAAAAACGCACGGAGAAATACAAATGTCTGTCACCATCGGAAAGACCACCATCAATCACCAGGTGCTAATTGCTGATATTTCTGATCAATTCATCTTGGGGATGGATCTTCTTAAGAAACTCGGAGCTGTGTTAGACGTGAAAAAGGGCGTGTTAAAGGTCGGCGATGAAGAACTCCCTTTCCATGAAGACAAAGAAGATGTCATCCGCCTGTTAACCACTCATGACGTCATTATACCCGGACTTAGTGAAAAAATTATAATGACCACTTTAGATGGATATTGTCGCCAGGGAAGCCTACGGATAGTCGAAGCACTAAACGAAAAGGAATTTCTAGTGGCTAGGGCTCTGGTAAAAGTTCAAAATGGCGTTCCGATTCGAATTATGAATTTGAAAGATAGTCCTGTTAAGCTAAGCAAACGAACTGTAGTTGGACAGTGTGTGCCCATCTCGGCTATTCGCTCTGTGAGATCGGAAAATCTATCTAAAGGAAAGTATCCAAGAGAGCTGATAGATATGGTCATTAAAAACACTCCAGATTTGGACAATAGACAACGACAAAAGGTGAAAAATATGCTTCTGGAATTCCGAGATGTGTTCGCGGTAAACGACCAGGACAAGGGCAAGACAAGCATAGTCACCCATAAAATAAATACTGGCAATTCCCAACCGATTAGACAACAGCCAAGGCGACTCCCCTTGGCTAAACGAGACGAAGCTGAGGAGATTATTAGAGACATGAGAAAACAAGGTGTCATCGAGCCATCGAATAGTCCTTGGTCATCACCGATAGTGCTTGTAAAGAAGAAGGATGGCTCCACAAGATTTTGCGTTGACTACCGTCTATTAAATTCCGTCACCAAGAAAGATAGCTATCCACTGCCAAGAATAGACGACACCTTGGACACTCTATCTGGAGCCCAATGGTTTTCCACACTCGACCTAAAGAGTGGTTATTGGCAAGTGGGGATGGAATCGACAGACCGAGAGAAGACCTCGTTTTCTATAGGCTCTGGACTTTGGCAATTCACAGTAATGCCTTTCGGATTGTGTAATGCCCCCGCGACGTTTGAGAGACTTATGGAAGCAGTTCTAAGGGGACTAACGTAGCAGACATGTCTGGTATATTTGGATGATGTAATTGTCGTAGGAAAAACTTTTGAAGAACACCTAAAGAACCTGAGAGAGGTGTTTGGACGATTACGAGAGGCCAATTTAAAACTAAGTCCCAAGAAATGTTATGTTCCAAAAAGAAGTTAAATATTTGGGGCACATCGTATCTCGTGATGGTGTTACAGCTGACCCAGAGAAGATTATAGCGATTCAAGAGTGGCCGATTCCTGAGAACAAGCACGAGATTCGAAGTTTCCTCGGTTTGTGCACCTATTATAGACGATTCGTGAAAGGATTTGCCAACATTGCTAAACCATTAATAAAGTTGACAGAAGAGGGCAATGAGTACGAATGGAGCGAAGACTGTCAAAGAGCTTTCGAACATCTCCGGCAAGCTCTTACTAGCGCACCTATCCTTGGCTACCCCAGAAATGAAGGAAAGTTTGTGCTAGATACCGATGCCAGTAACACCGCCATTGGAGCTGTTCTCTCTCAATTGCAAGACGGACAGGAAAGAGTCATTGCCTATTTCAGCAAAGTACTGTCGAAACCCGAGAGGAATTATTGTGTGACTAGGCGAGAGCTCCTGGGTGTGGTAAAGGCATGCGAACATTTCCATAAGTACCTTTACGACCGCAAGTTCCTGATAAGGACAGATCATGCAGCGCTAAAGTGGCTCTTGCAGTTCCGAAACCCAGAAGGACAGGTGGCAAGATGGTTAGAACGTGTTCAGGAATATGACTACGACATTGAACACAGGGCTGGAAAAGTTCACAATAATGCAGACGCTTTGTCAAGAAGACCGTGCAAGGACAACTGCACACATTGTTCTAAAATAGAAGACAAGATTGGCCATCTGCGACGAACAACTGTAGAGAGTGAGGAATGGAAGCCAAGCGAAATCAAAACGGCCCAAGAAAACGACCCAAGTATAAAAACTGTTCTGAATTGGATGCGCCACGGACAAAGACCAGGCTGGCAAGACATTAGTGCCACAAGTCCTGAAGTAAAGAGTTATTGGGGCCAATGGAATAGCCTGACTCTGAAAGACAACCTGTTGTATAGGACCCTTGAAAGTGAAGATGGCACCGAATCGACGCTGCAATTAGTAGTACCTAGAAGCAAAGTGTCGGAAGTATTGCGAAAATTGCATGACGGCGCTTCCGGCGGACACTTTGGTATTACGAAAACGTTGCAAAGGGTACGTGAGCGATTCTATTGGGTCAACCGTAAAGAAGATGTCCGGCCATGGTGTCAAAAATGTGAGTTATGTGCTACTGGAAACGGACCAGTTTCCAAGAAGAAGGCACCCATGAGGCAGCATAACGTTGGTAGTACGATGGAACGAGTTGCTATCGATATCGCAGGACCGTTTCCCGAGACAGATGGCGGAAATAAATATATCCTAGTCGCTATGGATTATTTCACAAAGTGGACTGAAGCTTACGCCATTCTAAACCAAGAGGCAGCAACAGTTGCAGAAGTGTTGGTAAAGGAGTTCTTTACGCGTTTTGGTGTTCCTATAGAAATCCATTCAGACCAAGGAAGGAACTTTGAATCGGCTTTGTTCCAAGATGTTTGTCGATTGGTAGGAGCCAATAAAACCAGAACGACACCTTTGCATCCTCAGTCAGATGGAATGGTGGAGAGAATGAATCGAACGATGGGTAAATATCTTTCAAAAGTCGTGGCAGAACATCAGAAAAATTGGGACCAGTACCTCCACCTGTTCCTTATGGCATATCGATCAGCCGTCAACGAGACCACGGGTCAGACTCCTGCCTGCCTTATGTTGGGTCGTGAACTACGCCTTCCATGTGATCTCGAGTTTGGGCGTAAACCCCATGAAGAATATGTCGCAGGTGAAAATTATGTTGACCAACTAAAGGCGAAGATGAACGACATTCACGACTTGGCTAGAAGTCATATTCAGATTGCCAGCGATCGCATGAAAAATCAATACAACCTCCGCTCGGCCAATGAAACTTTTGAAGCTGGAGATCTGGTATGGCTGCACAATCCACAGAGACGAAGAGGTCTTTCTCCCAAGCTACAAAGACAATGGGAAGGTCCGTATGAGGTGATCAAGAAAATAAATGACGTGATATATCGTATCAGAATGAACCACGGGAAACCGAAAGTTGTCCACATTAATCGACTCGCACGATATGCCGGATCCAACAACAACGAAGAAGTTAGAGGTATTCGAGAAGAGGAACGCAGCTTTGAGATCGAGCCAAACTTTAACGATTTTATGTCAAATTACGCCCAGCGGAAGAAAGCTCGATTTGGCGTTACTCAGGAAATTTGTCAAAATATTTTTGAGCTTCCGGTTAACGTTTCCATCGCCCATTGTGTCGCGGAAGACCTTCGCATGGGTAGAGGTATAGCTTCCGTATTCCGGAAAAGATTTGGAAGAATAGACGAGTTGATAAAGCAAAGACCACGAGTGGGTAAAGTACTGCGCTTGGAAGATAGTCAACGCTCTTTGTTCTACTTGGTATCAAAGAAAACGTCAGAAGGCAAACCCACCTATGAAAACCTCTGGTCTGCTTTAAAAAACTTAAAGAAACTCATGGCATACTATGACATAAATAGCTTGGCGATCCCGAAGATTGGATGTGGTTTAGATGGGTTGGACTGGAAGATAGTGCGAACCATGATCGAAGTGATTTTTAGAAACACTAGCGTTCGAATTACAGTATGCTGCTTCAACCCACAGGGGACGACCCTCCGCAAAACTGTGGACTGTTACTTTTTCAAGAAAGGTGTTTGTCGAGCAGGCTGTGACTGCAGATTCCGACACGAGGCATTAAAAAGTAATACTAACGCAGTTTCTGAACGAGACGTCCAGAATTAAGAAGGGGGCAGTGTAACGGAAACGCTCCAGACATGACGTCGCCTTTGGCGCTCTGGAATTTTCTAGACGCGCGATGGTGGGGATGTTTGCAGCGTGTCTGGTAAATGCGCGAATGTTCTGGACTTACATTGCTTGCGTGTATAAATGGTTGCGGACCGAACATCGCGGCAGTCTACTACCGAACGAGTACGTATGAAACATCGAGCGCGGAAATATAAATTGCGAAGTGTGAGTGATATAAATAATCGATATAAATTGTACGGATTATATAGTGTTTTAGTTCTGTTTAATAAATATTGATATAAATCGAACCCGAATTTATAAATAACGTTACAATATCAAAGGTAATAGTTGTTCCATTAGAATATTATTTACTATTATTTCTTTTAGGGAACTTGAAGAAATTTTATCAAAAATACATTCAATTCATCCACCACATGTCCTGAGTAGCAGCGTTTCAAGAGAAGATATGGTGCAAGCCAGTACTTCAGCATTTATTGAAACTGTTGACGAAATTCCAAATGTAGCTACGCCGTATGTAAAAGTATACTGTATTTTCATTATTCACAATGTAGGTACATTTCAGAAATTCGAGTTCATCTGTAGACGATGGACAAAACCATTACTCCAAAAAGCACTGTCCGAAAAACATTAAAGTCCGAGGTGCAAAAATTAAGAGAGGCAATCGACAAACGCACTTCCGAAAAAATTAAAGCGGATGAAAGGACGTTTGATCAAAAAGAAAGATTAATTGCAGAAATAAGGAAAAGAAATGAACTGCTTGAAAAATTTAATACTTAATTTGTATTATTTATTATTTTGCAAATATAAATAAGCATTCCAGCAGGTGATTTGTTTCCATGTGCTTTATGAACGTTCATTTCGACTGCGTGTAAATAACTGTTGACACAATTGATCCCTTAAGGCGAAGCCAGTTTGTAGACGGACGAATATTAACTGGTTGTACATCCTCCACTTTATCCTCCTGGTTAAAAAAAGCAAGTCCTGCTTGTTTGCAATATTGTGTAGAACACAGCATGCACGAATAAAATGGAGAATACGTTGGTGCCCTTTTGACTATAGATGATATAGTTGTCTTAATCGCTGCTTTAACAATCCAAAACAATGCTCAATTGACACTCTACATGAACTAAGGCTTTTATTAAAATTGTTTTGGGCAGGTGTTAAATGTCCATTGTCTCTGTAGAGTGTAGGGAGTTAATAGCCTCTTTAATAGCGGATATGCACCATCACCTAATATATATCCACCTAAATGGGTCAAGTTAGTATAATAGTTCGACAGGTAAACCTAGATCTTCACAGAGAGTATCTAATTTTGAAAATAATGGCGAATTTTTAAAAACTCTAGCATCATGAACTGATCCCGGGCATCCAATAAATATGTCCAAAAAATATAAATCTGAATCACAGCAGCCTTGGAGGATTACAGAATATTAATCCTTTCGATTAAAGTAATCCGTATGACGATCAACGGGCTTGTCAATTTTAATGTGACTACCATCAATAGCACCTGTAATAAAACAATGCTCAAAGATCGAATATATTTATTTGTTAACTATAAACTTACCAATTATATTTGGGAAACTATTCTTTTTATAGTAATATTCCATCGTCTTTTGTTGCTCTGCGAGAGTGGGTAATTTAATGACGTCAGGTGCTAAGGAACTAAGAAATGTCATTCTAGTGATAACATCATACAATGAACTAAGTGACAGGTTAAATCTATCTGCGACATCACGGTAACATGACGTTTGATGGCCAGCAAACCATAAAAACACAAGCATATGCTTTGATGCACTTATGTTTAGTCGAGAATAGCCTATAAATACAGATATTACTATACTACTTATTCCTTTGTGTCATACCAGATAACATCAGGTGTTTTAGGCCACTTCCAGTACGAACTAATTTTCTCCATTGCTCGACACCTCGCACTGGCGCCGTCAATTTCTAATACCTCAGCTGGATATGTCTTTCGGAATTCTTCATTTTGTTTTCTTCTCGAATTCTTTTCTTTTTTGGTTTCTTCTTTTTCCACGCGCTCCCTTTCTTTAGCTTCTGAAATTTCAATCCATTGGCTGGAACAGAAGGCCAGATGTCCGCTTTCCGCCTTTTCTTAGTCGGTTTCGGATTTGGATATAAGAGAACCTCTTGCAATGCCGCACTTATATGTTCGTCACGTTTATTAAGTATTATTTTAGTTTCTCCTTCATTTATTTCGGTAGAAAGAAAGAATCCCTTTAAAATGTGTTACCTGAGGAAAATCAAGTTCTCGAAAGAAAAATCTATTTCGCACTTCTATAATGCGCTATTACAATTTTCTCGTTCCTAATTTCACTCACTTGTTTCCTAAAATTACACTTACAGTCCGTTGGAAACTAAACATAAACAACTAAAAATACATCCAAGACAATTAATTTTCGGTTTATAGAATTTATCGTTCGTGTTTATGCTGCCTCTCACTTAATAAATGAGAGTGACTTGCAATTAGCAACAGTTTAAACAAATATCAAAGCCCTTGCTAAAACAAAAAAAAAAATAAATTGCCGTTGAAAGGTAATTGCATAAAAATGACGCATGAATTCGTACGGATCCAAACCGAGTAATTACTGCAATATTCCGTTGATTTAATCCGCACATTTGACGCAGTGACCGTTAGATAAACGCAAATGCTCGCTGTACTCGTGTATCAAAATAAATGCTCCCTCAGAAGTTAATGTATGCGTTTGTATGCAAGTTCGATACTTTTTCAAGCCATTAGTGCCTAGCGAATGTACGTTTAGAATCAAAATAAAACGTTTAAAAGGAACTTTTCAATACGTAGCATGAATACGTTCTGATGGTCTTTTTGATCATATAAGGTCGTTAGGTTTGCAAGTAGAATGTTTAGTTAAAGTTAAAGTAAATTTATTTATCATAATACAAATGCTATCAATATATGTGTGTCGCAATAAAAAAGATAAATGGTGTAGGTGCAATAAATGTGAAAGTTTTAAGTTTTCTTAGCTACATCAATAGGACACTTTTGGAAAGTTGTATTGTACTTCGTAAAAACGAAGAAAAATAAACAAACGACAAACCGCGAGACAAGCACATAAAAGACAATATTGAAACCCGATCGATTGAAATGGAAGATATCAAGAGAAGACGACCGCAAGGCTCAGGGGAATCGTTAGAAACCGAAAGGAAAGCTATCGTTGATTGGGGACATATCTCAAGTAAAACTTCTCACGTCATTCAATTATTATGAAAATTGAAAAAGAATTTATCTTAGTTTGCCAACACGACGAGTCTTTTCGGTGGATATCATTGGAATAAACGACTCGGTTTCTTTTTATAAAATCGTAAAATAATATCCCTGCCTTTTTTAGGGATCCTCAGCAGCGAAGATAAAGTAAATATTGGTTTTATAAAGGAATAATTCAAACATGCGAACCCTAACGCCATGCATTTAGGATATTATTGTACTCGAGAGCAACGTGCGTGGAAGTGCCCAACGAAAGGAAAAAAAAACAATTTAAAGTCTTAAACGGAATGATATGATTATCAATTTCCCATGTATGCAGGCTTCCACGAAAAGTAATTTATTTATCCTTTATAGTGGGCAAATTTCACAGCGTTTATATATCGAATCAAGTCCGACCAGAAATATATAACTTTATAACAAATCGAATTTTCCAATTTTACCCACATTCACGCGCTGTTGTTCCAACACCTACACAGTTGTTGAATGTGATCGATTGAACTCTGTTACTGCGCACGTTACCGCGTAGGAGTTTGACTATGACGTTCACAATGAAAATAATGAATCGACGATTACTTATAACAGTGTCAATTCTATATATAAATCCTGAGCCCTGCGTCTTCAATTTGTAAAATTTGTGTGCGAAATGTGTAGAAAACTTGCCTGAAATTGATTCACATTAAGTATATGAATTATAATACTCGTATATATATAATATAATTATAAGAACAACGGCTAATAAAATTTTGCTGTTTGTTGTTTGTGCTGCTTAACTGGCTAATGACGATATTTAGGTTTAGTAATTGTGTGGAAATAAACAGAAAAATGATTCAAATTCATCAATCGGTTAACGTTGTTAGTACACATAGCCCAGTCAAAATAGGAAAAATAAAGAAACTAATTCATGTGTTTCAGATTCCTTCAAAATTGTGTAGGGGACGTTCACGTATCAACATAAAGTGAAGTTTTTTACTTACAACGTGCTACGTTATAGCAAAAAATGTTCATATAAATGAAAGCGCATTAAATTTTTTACAACCTTAATCCTATACAGAATTATGAAAAAATGAAAATAAGTTTTCGCCTTAAGGCGAGTAACTTTAGCGCATATTCCATGAATTGATCAGTACTTCCCGAAAGGTCATGTAACGGTCTATTTATGTGTACAAAGGAAAATGAGTTGTGGCATAAATATTTATACAATACACACAAACAAACACAAAAACCAACTGATATTACTTCGTGAACTTCACTTCGTTGATTGCACATAAATTTCGATTTATGCGACATTGGGTTCGTTGTAATTTCAGGTGTAATATGGTTCTTTGATGGTGGAAAAAGTCTGTTCAACTGGTACTTGAAGACCTTAAAGAAATGTTTCATATAGCGATAACTGCCCGATTAACACAACACTACGGCCACCTCTTTATAAACTTCACTTCTTTAATTCGACTCAAACATTCACTTTAAAAGGCGTAATAATAACCTCTTTTAGAGCACTCAACTAACTTCTACAAAACTATATATATGGCAAGATAAACTGCCTCGCAATAATACGCTCAACTGCCAGTCACCACCAAAAAGCAACGTTTAACGTCCACCACCAAGAAAGTCACGGTTCACGTCTTCCTCTGCTATTTAAAACACCCTTCCCTTTCGCAGTTTTCGCCTGTCTCGACGTGAATTTGTATCTTCAAAATTGAACACCTGCTCTCTCATCGGCGAAACCAGCTTATGTTGAAACTTACGCAGCGATAACACTTCTTTTCGCAACGCCTGGAGATAACATGGGATAAAATATTTCATTAATTCCAGATTATTATTAATCTTGTAAACACGTAATTTAAATTTACAAATACCAATCAAAATAAACAAAACGATTATTTCAACGAAATCAAACATCAAATGATTGTGACTTCAGAAAAAATTATTCAAATGAAGTATTGGGTATTGTGTTTTTTGTAAAATGCATCAGTTCAAGAACTTCAAAGACACTCGACGTCACACATCCAGTGTTCCACACAATCTCCTAATAGATGTGGTGAAGGTATATACAGGTACAACACAGTATTAATCGTTTTAATGTATCTTAGACACTATCTACAGGATCTAATCCAAAAAGAATGCTTTTATGAGAATCTCAAACACCGTCGACATTATACTCCAACACAGTGTACTATCAAACGTGACGAAGGTATTAATACCTAGCACTTTTAGGGTCTCTGGACAAGTTTCTTAAAGAGTTATCATTTATAAAGGTCCATGTGCTGAAAATGATCCAACAACTGTCGGTGCTAGAGCCTCACATTTAACCTTATCAACTTCAACAGAATAGAGAGTGGGGGGAAAACATGTTGACTATGAACAGTTAATACGCAAGTTCCCGTGGGATACCGAACTAGATTTACGAAGCATGGAAGTCTATCATCTAAATGAAGATTTAAAAAAATGCCTAGTAAGAAGCCCAATAAATGAGGGTAAAGGTTGATACGGTATATTTTTTAAGCTCAATTAATAGCGGGTCTATACAGCCGGACACCTTTAATTAACCGGAATATAACTAGAGAGAGCGCGGTATTACAACCGACACATCTACTTTAATTGAGGAACAGGTAAACTTAATTAATAGCCGCGGCTATACAGCCGGACACCCTTCATTCACGGAAGGTAACTGGAGAGAGTGAGAGCAGTGTTACAACCACCACTCTGGTTTCAATAGAGGGACAGGTAACTTATTGTTAGAGCGCGAACTACAATCGCTACTCTAACCAGGGAACAGGACTGTGGTAGTTAGGATCAGGGCAAAGATTCTAAGACGCCAGGTAACCAAGTTATGCAGGTGTGACCGGGAATGGAAAAATCACTGCTGAAGATGCTGAAGTATTATTGATGGGTTGGCTGTTGATTAGCTTGGCTCGGCTACAATTGGCCGTATTGGAGTAGTTCGATGACGGCTGGATAAAAAGTCCCCAATTAAGTTCGGATTGAGATCAATTTAAATATCGAATTACGGGTGTCTCGCTTGTTTGTATATTCGAAAAAGGCGAAAGAGCATACCGTTAGAAAATAGGTATATCTCCGAAAATTAATAGTATATTAAGATACAAGTGTATAATCAAGTCTTTAAAGCACGCGCAACGAGTTTAAGGGCACGACGCAAAGCGGAGTGCCTTTAACGTTGCAAGTGCTATAACGGTTTCATTTGGGCGCAAAAAGAAATGCCGGTATTGCTCCGGTCTAGCTCTGATGCAGGAGCGAGGCGGTTCAGATTTCAGTGATATATTCGCGTGGTTCTGATTGACTAGGGTAGCGCCACTACGTTTGGAAATGCAAGAAGATACTTACAGGAAACGCAGAACCTGAAAGATAAAAGGACACACAACAACACATACCTGTAAATTAAAAAAAAAAACTATTGGGGGTGAACTGGTCGTTTATTAAATTAGTTGTTGATATGCATAGAATTTAAAGATCTGTCTATCTATAATATCAAGGGATCGCTGTATCTTGAACGGTTAATAAAAATTTTAGATTAAAGTTCCAAACGTACAAATAATGAAAATAAAATAAACTCTTGCAGTAGCAAGTGCCGCTAGATCCTCACGCTTGGGGTCTAGAGCGTTTAAAATGAAAATCAAAAATAATTAGTGCGGGGGTAAAACAAAGGCCTTTCTTTCACGGGCTACTAAAAACGTACCTCACCTCGGGCATTCTACCTTTTTAAGAACCAAAAAAAAAACAACAGGCTATCTTGATAACTGCCTAACAATCATAAACGTACAAAAATAATAATTCGGTGCAGTAGGCACAACCAAAAAAAGTAGTTCTAATCGTCCGACCAACCCGAAGGGTTGTCGGTTTTAAAGTAATACATAACCAATAACAGCACAACAATGTTTTTATTTTACTTATCGTTTTTTTTTTCTTTACGTGACCAGTGTTCAGTGATAAATTGTTGAAATTAAAACACGAATTACAACAAAACAAAGGAACTGAAAGGAAGTAAGGAGAGGAAGGGAACAAAATGGCAAGGGTGTCTCTACGTGGATGCAGGATTCGATGGTTCGTTGCAAAGTAGTCGGGAAGGTTCAAGTAATAAACAGCTGACCTTTCGTTGTAGAATACCGTTCCACAATTGGGGTTGGTGACGCCACGCAGAGAACGACAGGGACGCACTTGTAGGGGATGATCGGTGATGGCTCTGCGATGAATGGGGCGCAGGGCTCCTTCTTATACGGGTTGATATCGATGGTAAAGCTATGCGTTTCCCTCACAATGATGGACGAGACGAAAAACGTACAAATTGGTAGGTAGTAAAAATCGGCTAAAAATAATAGTTTACCAATAAGGGCTGGGAATAACAAAACAAGATGTACAAACCTCTAAAGATCGTAAACGAGCCAAAGTATCAAGCCGATGACCAATGTGCTTCCAAAATCCGCTTGGCGAAACTCCAAAAATATTACCATGAGAACCAAAAACGTCTCCAAAATTGGGTAACAATTAGAAAATATTTACTTCAATGTGTGAAGATCCTTATAATTAATTAAGATGAAATTTTTACACAAATGAAGATTGGCACACTGGACACGACCATGCCAGAATCAAAAGTGACCGGAAAAGAAGATAAAAGGTAAAGGAATTTTATCACAAGGACAAGGACAATACTGGTTTTTAAAATTTAAATACTGAATATGTACTGTATTCTAACAGGCAACCAACCATACATACGGAAGAAACATGGGGACCAAACAAACTGTTATAAAGTCCAACTCTTTAAAGCACGCGCAACGACTTTAATGGCACGACGCGAAACGGAGTGCCTTTAACGTTGCAAGTGCTTTAAAGACCAATTATACACGTGTATCTTATAGTATTTTTTATTATACCTGCAGTATAATTTAAAAATAGGAAATACAATGAAGTCATATTGACGTTATACTCGAATACATGTCTAATTAAGTGGGCTGGGTGTTCGTAATTTCACGATTGCCATGGAAATGTCACTTGACGTTTGCTTATAAAAATCATCGTCTTTGTGAATTAAACGATTTCCGTTGAAAAAGATAATACACCGTCCATTAAATCGCTTGTTGTAAAATCTAAACAAACGTTGGTAGGTGTAAAATCTCAATCCAGTAAACCCTATTATCAAGCATATGAAAAGTTGTTTCCATGGATGAATAGGAAGTTACTTACGAATAAAGTCTTAAATGCATCGATAATGCTGGCATATATGAAGGAAATGTATTAAATAATAAAGGTATTTAAATCTTCTATCTTTTGGTGCATTCATTCAAAACTTCACTTATTGCTGGGACTAAAAAGTGGAACAGATTTGGAAGCATACCCTAAATTCCGCGCGTTTGTGAAAGCTTCAACCAAAGGATAGGTACAAGCCAAAGAAATGTTCTGCATTTACAGAAAGCGACCTAAGAGAATTTTTTATTTCATCCAGATGACAGTTTCAAAAGTCATACTTGAAGTATCGTTACTTAGCAACTTTAAAGCACGTGTGTTTTAAAGGCCTTTTTTCGCACGCATTTGAGTGTTTAAAACGGAGATTGTGATTCAGGTATAATAATAGTATATTATATACCGCGGGACTGAAGTAGTAATTTTAATCCCGAAGGTAAAAAGGTAAAAATTTACCTGAGGGATTAAGACCACTACTTCAGTCGCAAGGTATATACGATATTTTTCGTACTTCCGAAACTGAAACACTTAATATGTATGGAGTTAGAGAACGCGTTCTTTCAAAAAATCGCTGCTTAACAAGTTACCATAGGAACGTTGCGTTGGTATGACAATCCCTATGCCATGGTAACAAAAATAATTTGGAAACTGTCATTGCTAGTGTCATAATTTTGGTGGTGGGTTACAGAGGTGCATTTGATATTGATAAAAAGCGGCTAAAGTAGGTAAAGAATTGATACCACCGAAATCCAAGAAACTGTATGAGCAGCAGTACGATGCGTTTAAGAAGTAGTGCCGCATACAAAATGTGGAACAACCTACTGAAATTGCCTTGTTAGTAATTACATCCTTCCGGGATTTTTGTCTAAATTTAATCCCGGCGGGACAAAAAGTGACACTTCAGTACTTGTCATAATGGAGTGAAGTTGTTACTTTAGTCCCGGAAGTACGAAAAAAATATTTTTTGTCTGATTTACATTAATTTATGTAGCTTACTAGAAACACTAAACATTTTTTTTGAAAGATTTTTATATATCTCTAATAACTTCAGAGAAAAATCGCGTTCCCTAGTTCCGTTTACACCCTGTATATTGCATCAAGGCTTAGGTAATTATGTTGAATACTTACTTTGAAAGGATATAAAAACTGTTTTTTCTTGAATCCCACGATCCTTTTAGCATAACACCTATAAAGGTGGGTCCAGACTTGAGGGCACATGACCAGAGCGCGCACACATGCGTGTGTTCTCAAGTTGTGTGCACTCAGCTCATGCGGGAAATGCAATTTCTAAGGGCGCACGCATATGCACTCATATTGCTCAGTCCATGCGTACGTGTCGATGAGATAAGATGTCTACCGATGAAGAAATGGTTATGTTGGCTGCGGCAAGTTTTATTTTTATAAATGAAGAAGAAAAGAAGAAAGAACAGAAAACCAAAAAAAGCCGGCGTTGGTGGGTGACACACATTTTCAAACAAAGGAATCGGTTAGGTGGTACAAAATTATTACGCAGTATGCAGCTGGAAGAAGCGACAGGTCAATTTAAAAACTTTGTGAGGATGTCGGCAGAAGATTTTGAATTACTGCTAAACGAAGTTGGCCCTATAATAGCAAAGCAAGAAACAAAATTTAGAAAAAGCATTACCCCTACGGAACGGCTGGCACTAACGTTACGTTTCCTCGCAACAGGGGATTCGTATACAAGTCTACAGTACCTCTTCAAGATATCTAAGCAAGCAATTTCATGCATAATTCCAGAAGTTTGTGCTGCACTCATTGAGGCTCTCAAAAGTTATGTTCAGGTAAGCAAAAGTAACTTTTTATTAAATTTTAACTTGCACAAAAAATTACAAATTCAGAAAATTTTGTGAAGTATCGGGAAAGTCTACGTACGAAACGTAGGAACCCGCCGAAGATGGGCCTGGTGTTGAATTATAAATTGTAGCAGAACTGCTATCAGAAGAAGGCCCAGGTGCAACATTTGTCGAAAAAGTGTCATTGCACATTGTTGATTTCATGCTCGACTATAGCATGGCACCTTTTTGAATATCCTCTTAGCTTATTAGCTACATGTTGGCCATATATAGAAAAGCGATCTTGCAGCGGGTCTTGGTTTTGTTTCGCAAGATAGCGAGTGTGCGTGTCCTGCAAAATTCGAAGAGCTTCTTTAGATAAGGAGTTACTCTCTTCGTGATGTTGTTTTTTTGGTTTTTTCTTGGCCGGGGGTTTAGCATGTTTTGCATTTTCTTTTTCTTGTGTCTCATCTACTTGTACTTCGTCTTCATCTTCCCTGATGACCACCTCACTATCGTCCTCCACCGGAACGGAAGACAGATCCATTTCGCCATTTTCTTCTCCACTACCTTCGGTATCCTGTGAACAATTTTACATTATTAACTTACAATAGTGCGTGTAACCTAGGACAAAAAATGGTATAATAGTATATTTTTGTTTCAGCTGCCTAAAACTGACAACGAGTGGAGGCGTGTTTCTGAAAGATTTGAAAAATCGTGGGGTTTTCCTAATTGTTTAGGAAGCATGGACGGCAAGCACATAGTACTCCAAAGTCCTATAAACAGCGGAAGCGATTACTTTAATTACAAATCGTTTTTCAGCATTGTATTGTTTGCTTTGGTAGATGCTGATTATCAGTTTATGTTCGTTGATGTTGGGTGTCAAGGACGGATATCTGATGGAGGGGTTTTTAAGCATAGCAAACTGCATAAACTTCTTCACACAAATAGTTCGAATTTCCCAGAAGACAAATCCCTGCCAGGAAGGGATAAATTAATTCCCTATGTTATAGTGGGAGATGACGCATTCCCGCTTACAGAGCGTATTATGAAACCTTTTTCTGGTATGTATGAGAAGGGGTCATCCGAAAGAATATTTAATTATCGACTTAGCCGAGCCCGCCGGATAGTAGAAAATGTATTTGGTATACAATCTGCAATATTTCGTGTCTTACGGAAACCTATTTTACTGCAACCAGAAAAGGCAGAACTAGTAGTGCTCACAACAGTTTACCTTCACAACTTTTTGAGGAAATCTGCTTCATCACGAAATATATATACTCCGCCGGGTACATTTGACTCTGAGGTAGAAGGAAAAATAATAGATGGTAGTTGGAGAAAAGCACATGGTGACAACGCTAGCTCCCTCCGGCCTATGCGCAATGTACCTCGCAGACCAACACTTAATGCGTCTTCAATTCGAATTGAATTTTCCGAGTACTTTAAGAGTAATGGAGCCCTACCTTGGCAAGATGAATATGCCTAAAACGTTTGCACTTACCAAATCTTTTTCTGTGTCCAGTGTATCTCGGGGAGCGTCTCGGTCAAGCAAAAAATGCATCCTTTCAAACGCAAACCATTTCGATATGTACACTTCTTGACGTGCTAGAAACAATACATCATATAAATATGTACCTAATAATAAAATGTACTACTTCAGTATTGTTATTTAGCAAACCGCATACCTTTTCCGGTACCAATAGTTTTTTTTCCTTTGCTTTTCTGACTGCGGAAGGAGCCTAGCAGACTATTCATTTTTATTTTCACCGTTTTGGCATCCACATTCATTATTTTGGAGATTTCGTCCCACGCATCATTTTTCTTTGTTTTCGAAAAATAAAATTTATGCTTGGGCTCCCACAACACAGGATACTTTTCGTAGATGTCGATTAGCTCCAAACATTTGTCGTTACTCCATTCCATATTGTTAATTCTAAATAATGAACGTATAATTAGTATAGATAGGTTTATAGTATGTTTGAATTGGATCATATCAACGTGTATTCAAACGTACCTGCTATGATCCGTCGTAATGGCTAATGTAAACTAAACAAACTTTTACAACACGAGGCACGCACGTTGAAAATTACTAAACACGTCAATTTCACCGTCCACACTGAATCGCAACGCACGCACGTTTTCTTTTGAGCGGGTCCAAAAAACCGACAGCCGACGGCTCGCATCATGCGCGCGCGAAGCGGCTCGCGAGTCAAAAAACATACGTTGAGAAGATGCGCGCCGACGTCCACATCTGCATATGCGTGCGCGATCACGTCATATGCGCTCAGATGTGGACCCACCTTAAGACATAATGAAAATTTGCTGGAAACCTATGTCACAAGGTGCCACCCACACGGAATCTCTCAGCACAGAGTATACAATAGGAATACAACCACAACCACTTCTGGGGGCCGCTGTCACCTCCGACAAGTTGAAGGCCATGGCCAACCTGTTGAAAATGGATAGGGGGGAGGCCCACATGTCAAGCCGACAAGCTCGCCGCAGGATGAAAAGAAATAAACGGCATATTACTATCCACATTGGAAATGGTAAATATATAAAGATGACGAGAAAAGAAGCTACCGCAATGGGATGAGTCGGACAGAGGACACCAAGGTACCGGCTTCCGAAGGAGGGGTGATATGTAAGGAATCCAATTATGATAGTTTTTATAATCATTTTAGGTATTAATAATGAAAACTATTTTCGTTAAGTTCCGTGAGATGCCGCCACCTACCTTTCCGATTATATCAAATACCACTTCCCGTTAGTCCCTTCCCGATTACCATTTCCACATATTCCCCCAAACGGCACTTATTGAGCTCACCTTCCTTTAGCTCAAAACCTGTTACCAGAACAACCCTCCAGATCTCCTGCTGTTCCTGAAGCTTAGGCCCGTGCTTTGTACCATAGGCCTAAATTTCGCCAACCCTGTTATACCTCACCTGACCACTATACCTGAGCTGTTTTTAAGTCGGCGTCTGCATTAGGGAAAGTTATAATTTCCTTTTACATCATCAGAGTCGGAAAAGGAGGAATTCGATTTTAAACGGTCTTCGAAAGTCATAGAAGAATCTTGAATATTGTTATTCTCCATATTATTTTTATGAAATAACTCAGAAAATAAAATCGTCATCATCAGCTTCACAATTTGCATATTTTGGGGGGCGCATCAAATGAATCACTGACGAAAATTTCAAAATATTTCGGAATGATTTCACAGTTGGGGGTTTCGATTGTAATCACCCCGCTGTCGATATACAGAAAATAAATTTTCAAGCACATCTTGGTTTAATCTGCCCGTTAACAGAATTTTGTTATATTCAAACAGGCACAATATTGCATTTATCGATGTAACAAATCCCTCAAAACAATATACCTTCTGTTCTTTGCCATTGAATTTAACTTTTTTTATGGTGTTGAATTTTTCTAATGCGTTTTTCATGGTTTTCCATTGCTAATTCATTTGTTTCTTCCAGGGCACATTTATAAGGATTTCGGGTATATCTGACTGATGAATTTAATACATCGAATAGAGCCGTATGTAGTGCTGTTTTACTTTTTAACAAACCTAGCTGAATACAGGTTCTGATACTCATAGTAGCAGCAACGCTGTGACTAAACACCTGTGTTGCCAATTTAACAGACATTCTTTGAAATTTGTTGGGGTTTATATGTGTCTGTCAATTTCGTTAAAGCTCTGCCCGTATTACTCCTTTTGTCAATTTGGTAGGTGTTCCTGATGTCATCAAAGGATATTATTTCTCCATTCATCAACACATAATTCCCAATTAACAGATTGTTTCGTAGACTTTTCATTAAGTGAGGTACATCATATATTCCATAATATATCTTACCGTTATATAGAAAATGTGGAAAGAAAACAATTTTCTACTGCTAGATGAAGATTCACAAATAATAGCTCGCGGACATAAGCCTATCTTTATTGAGAAGCAACTGCAAAATATAGAAAAGAAAATGATAGTAATAATTACAGCTCAAAGGGCGGAGTTCAGCTTGTAATAAAAATTACTCGCTGCTCTTCCACTCAACCCATAATGATTGTTTAAATGATCACATAATGGTATAAATTTAGTTGTATGCGTCATGTAACAAAAAAAAAGAAAAAGTAGTAAAATTAAAATATAAATTATAGAGTTTAGCAACAGTAACATTGTAACATCTACGATTTTAGCACACTACCTGACCACTATACATGAGCTTCTAGCATGATCGACTTGTACATGCGTTTAAATTGTTTTAGATTTTTCGATTTTAGAGAATTTGGGAGGGGATTATACAATTTGTAGATGTTAAAAGTGAAGCATCTTTCGAAAAAACATGTAATGTGTAATGACGGAGCTTAGCTGGAACGGATTTGCGACCTAAGTGTCCTAAATCTTGAAACCCCTCAACAACATCACATTGTTTATCGTATTCAAATTTTGATTAAGGCCATCTCATCAAAATACAAAACAACCTCTTTATCCATTTCAGCCATTGTACCTACTTTTATTTTCAATTTTTTTAAAAAAGATGAATTAAATCCGGGACGTTGCGAAAAATCCTTTATCCGTCCCCTAACGGTACTAATTCCAGGCAAAGAAACCCCCTTTGATCTCAGAAATTTATAGCAGGATGGACTTTTATAATGAAGAATCAACGCGATTTTTTTTCACTACTGGAGTAAGTTCTTTTTTTTGTGCTAAGCAATTGCATGTTTACTCAAGTTTTTGCAAATGGAGATATATTGACAGGGAGTATAATATTACGAGGTAGAGTTTTCAGTTTTCGTTTCAACTGATACACCTGCACGGTTTTACTTTTCAATTGTTTTTTTATACGAATGAGTTCATCACGAGTTGCGTCTAAGCGGATCTCTAGATCCTTTTCTTTTTGGGTTTACAATTTAATTGTCTTTTAACAGGAGTTACAACAAATGGCATCTCAACTACCTCAGCTAAAAATGTTCCACTAGGACTAGGGCAAAAATTTGTATTAGCGTCGTCCTTTTGGTGGGAGTTGAATATATTTCGAAGATTGATGATGAAAAACGGGTTGATGGGGGCGTTATTTCATCTCTTGCCGAAGTATTTACCACCTACATAGCAACTACAATCAAAACGATGATATCACAAAGACCCTTTTTACATTAGACATTCACATCCCGAATTTCATTTTAATCGGCAAAACCATTTTCCGATAAAATAAAAATAACGGTCTGGCGGTAGATAGCGCCTTACCGAAGCACTTTTGGATACCAAGAACCCCTGGTAGCGCGTTGTACAAACCTTTTAGGAACACCCTGTATAAATTTAAAAGCCTTTTTGCAAGAAATGGCAACAGATGAACAATTTCCCACTCTGTTATCAGATGAGAAGTGGTTGAAGTATTTCCGATGTAGAAATAATGCGACTTCGTCGGAATTTTTAAAATTATGCTCGTTCTTTTTCGCTATACCGGCCCATAACGCCAACGTTGAAAAAAATTTTAGTATGATGAAGGCTCAGTGGATGGACGAACGAAATCGTCTGTTGCCAAGTTAATTAAAAGCATTTTAATGGTTCAGTTTAATTTAAAACATTTGACGTGCACAAAATTTTATGATTAATGTAAAAACGAAACGGATTTGTTGCATGCTATTCACAGCAATGAAAAATATAAGAATTAAGTTTTAATATTAAATGTTAATAAATATGTATTAGATAAATGTATCTACAAATAAAGTAGTATTTTGCATTTGAAATGTTAGTGTGGTCAATTTACAGGCAAATGCATAAAATAGCGTTTTTAGTGGTTATATTTTCCAAATTTTTCCCCAGTCTCCATATTTAATAGCCTCCTAGCGTTTCAGATGATTTACAAAGGTAGTGCAATTGAATAATTTTAGTCTTTTCGTTACATGATGTAAACAGAAAATCAGAAAATTTACTTGTATAATTTTCCTTCAAAATGGAGACCAAGAAGAAAAATCAAATAGATGTGAATTTTAAAAACTAGAAATGTAAATGCCTGTGATATCTGCTGCTAAGAATCCTGATAACTAAAAATCTTTGTAAATAAATGATATAAGTTTGTCGCATAGCCAATGAACGTCATAAGTGCTATTCAAATTGTATGAATTATGTGTTGAGTACATAATTAGAATAACCTAATGAACCGGCAAACTTCAAAGTACACGCGGTCTCATTTCTTCATCTACATAATTATGCGCGACACAAAGAGGACGGTCTCAATTACATCATTTTAGTATTATCGAAAATAAATCTATTTAACAAAACCTTGTAAAAGAACTTTTTTGCTTATTTTACAGAAAAACTCCGTCAATTTATAGACGTTGTAAAGTAACGAACAAGTATCAACTTGCCACCTCCCGTTATCGTCCCTTCCAATTCTCTGCAGTATCACGGACTTTCCATTTGTTACAATGTAATCTGATGAAAAAAGCATTTCAATATTATTGAAGTTTTTGGCCATAAATTCGATTACGAACAAGAAATGGAATTAATGAAAGTATTCTAACCCAAATCCGGCTCTATGATTAATAAAAATTCATATTAGCTACGCTAACGAAACGACTAAGATCAATAATACTGTTCATATGAGCTATTTATTGTTCTACACATGCAATAAGGTCGAGGTTGAGACTTTTCCAACTATACTTTTCAACTGTACGTTCACCCCGCGACTTATACCTACATGTTACCGTTTTTGATAGTAATTGAAGGGTGGGCTTGATTCAGAATAGTAGAGCACTCTTCTTAATGTAATTAATCATTTGTAAGCAAAACTATTTATTTTAAATCCCTCAATGTATCAGATTCCTTTTATCATAATCATGCATCGAAAAAATCTTGATGAACTTAAACATGAAAATGCATATTAAATTATGAAACATAATATATCAATCGCTTTTTTCGCTAAATTAAGTACAACCGAAAACACGAAAATCGTTAAAATGATACATTTTATTCTTCCTCGCGCCCTCTGCCATTTGTAGAATTTCAAAGTTAGAATTTCATTTTATTTTATAATTAAACTAATTAAAAGTTCTAATTCAGCTTTGCGGATGAAGGAATAAATATTGGAATGGTTTTACAAAGAGCGGAAATGTGCTAATGGTGAAAGCGGAAGAGTTGAAGTTAAAGTAGGTACCATATAAAATTTGTAGGTAACTTTTTTATACAGAAATACAGTCACGATAACAGAATTAGCTTAACATTAACCCGAAATTAAGTTAACTAAAGTTAACTGGGGAATTAAGGTAAATACGTTAACCAGACTAGGTATAACTTAATTCTTATATTGCCTTTGGCGCTTTACTAAAGTAATCCATTCATTGTATAGATTTCGCCTTGTTTCATTCAACTATGGAGGTACACATTTAAACACTTGTACTTTCCAACTGAATTATGCATCGGATATAAAACCCGAACATGTTTGTTATGCGGATTTTGTTTTAGAATAATCACATTTTACCCCATTTTATGTCCAAGACACGCAAAAGGAAAGGTCGCTTAAAGACTGGTTGCACTAACCTCGAGGCGTGTTATTGTCATTTTATTATTTTTTAATCTGGGTAGATTTATTTCCGGGATGGAAGTAAAACTAAAAAAGAGAGTTTTATAGATATGTTTTTTCTGCCACATAAATCATCTTTCCGATAGTCGTTTTCACGAATACTTAGTTTGCAGAAGATGTGTGTATACACAGTTAACATCTGCAGAATGCGAGATAGCACAGTATTTTTTCAACAATCCTTCTCGGGTCATGCATAACATATAAATTCTTTCCAATATTTTATTTTCCACACGAAAAATATTTAGAATGAAATATACTAAAATAAACTGCACAATTTATTGCACGACCTCCACAATCACTAGTCGAAGGTTCTACGAAAGCTGTCGCACATAAATCCTAAACAACATATAAAAATTGCGGTTGGTCATGTTCGTTCACTTTCATAACCTATGAAAGTGGTTGGTCAATATATCGCAGAGCGATCAACGTGGCCGCCTTAATTTGTTATACAGTGTGTTCATACTTCGATGCTGACGATTGCTCGCAAATTAGCAAATGTTAGAATAATTAAGTAATTTTAAGATTTAATTTATGTTGTCCATATGTTTTCTTGTGTTAACTTAATATTTAGTTTGGGCCTCAAAAGAAAACCGCCGCCTTGTCACCCTTAATCCTAATTTATGTTTCCGAATGCGTCACCAGGTGGACCATAAACACATGGCCATATTACATGGGGTTTTCGAGGAGATTAATTTAAGTTAGTTTTTAAGAAGTCGCATTCTGAACCGCGCCGAAATCGGTCGTCTAGCAAAAAAGTAAACCAATAATCTTAAGGTGACAAATTCCAAGTTTATACAGTTTTCATATATAATACCATAAGTAGTCGAAGTATTGTCGAATATTTTTGAGGTGCTGTCACGAATGCTAGTTACGCTGATTAATACCACGAGCGCTTGCGCGAGTGGTATTAAAAAGCGTAACTAGCATGAGTGGAGCAATGGTATTCGGAGGACTATTCAACGAATCAAAAGAAAAATTAAGCATAATTACCCACGCGAATGTATTTCCATGACAACAACAAACGTCAAAATAAATTATGGAAGTTGGTTTTCATTTTGCTATTGATTCTATTCGAACTTTTGTGCTCCAAGCTAATTCGTTATGAGTGATTAAATTAAAAGATGTGGTGATAAGTCGGTTGTCGAAATTGATTAACAAACTAAGAAGAATGTTCCGGTTAATACGACAAAATTTCGCGTCATTTCACTGGTGGAAGTTTGACAAATGTCATTGAATAATCGCATTGAATTGTCGCTGAAATACCACACGTGAAATTATCGCTGAAATACCACACGTGCAATTATCACTATAATTCGTTCCCTTAGACAAGGAAAGAATATGGACGCATAATTCACTAGCGGTAGTGTTACCAGCTGCCACATATTGACATTGGCCAGTGTCGTAGCATCCGTAAATGCGAATAGTGGCAGAAGCACCTATTATAGCTAATAAATCACGTTGAAGTTGAACATACGAATGAAATTCGTGCGTTGCGCTATTTATTAATCAGACACGGGTATAAACGAAACTTCCTCTCATCTTTTTTCGGAAATGCCTTCAAAACTAACTGTCCCTCCACTCCCTCCAGCTAAAGATTGTGATAAAATAAGAATCTTCATTGCTTTCTGTTTGATTTTTCACGTAAAGCCGTTTCCGTACCAATTTTCTCTTTGAAAAACGCGGAGTGATAATGACTACGCCTATGGAGTTTATTGAATAATTCCATCCTTGAAGACGTTTGTTATCAAATTTTGAATGCATGGGATTGGTTCTGTTGTAAGAAATTAAGTCAAGTCGCTCATTAAGCTATGAATTTTAACATATTAAAAGAAGAATATTCAAAGAAAAAGCTTTATGAGGAAAAATAGGAAAATACGTGGTAACGGCATTAGGCACATTTTCAATATTTACGTTTGAAATGAAATTCCCGGTTCCTCCTTCTCACTCTGGCTTTTGCATCCACAATATGCACATTTCACCATGATTTTAAGTTGTTGTTTGTGTATTTCCTCTCAATTTAAGCGCAAAAACTTATAAAAAACGATGTTACTTTAATGACATATGTGCCACATATAAAATGGCGGACTTGTTTAAAAAGGTAACACGATTCATACACGGGCTGTACGGCATACGCGGTATCCATACTCTTTCCTAATCTAAGTTCGTTCCCATTGGCGCAGCAATTTGAAATCGAGACATTTCACTGGTTGAAATCTGACAAATGTTAGATGAATTGAATAGTCAATTAAATTACACTTGTTATTCAAATGTTTTTAAACACGTGTACACATGTACCTATAGGTTACATACGTTTTAAGATACTTATACACAACCTCACTTTTATTAGGGGAAACCGGTCAAATACCGCGCACTTAAGAAATTTTGCTTGTAAAAAAGTTGGGTTAAAGATTTTTTAAACGCGCTTTTGTCTACTGGTATGTACATGCGTAAGGTATCTCATGATTACCTCACAGAAAGTTTAACTAACACCTAATTTTATGTAAAGTGGATTTTAAAAAAATGCTGCAATGCGCGGTATTCCCCAGTTCCTTGGGTAATACCGCGCATTTAGTGGGGAAATGGCGCGCAGTTTATAAATATCATTTAGCTTGCATAACTAGGGTTGATTTTCTTTGTTGTTAAATAAAACAATGGTATACATTAATTTGTTTAATTTAAACTTATAAACGGTAATAAAGAACGATAACATAAACGATAAAATGTATTTTTTATTAAATTATTGTTTTTTTTAACTTTTTATTGCTGGAAAGGCACAGGTCGCACGTATATTCCGCAGCCGTGTCCCATCCACTACATTCGGCGTGTGACCAGTTTGCACATAGAACGCATCACATAACTTCTCATCAAAACTACTAGCGTTGCTACTTGAGTCATCACCTAAATGCAAATTTCTGACATGTCTGGGTTTTTGGATTTTCTTATTAACAGATAATTTTCTTTTTTTTGATTGCTTAACTTTTTCTGACTTACTTTTTACTCTTGCCTGTTCTTCCTTTTGGATCTTTTTTTCTTTAGCCGCTTCGAGCTGCTCCTTTAGAGGAGTAGACGTCAAAATTTCGGAATGCTTTTTTGTTCGTTTCTGGGCAGACGTATCACACACTGATATTGGAATGGGTGAAAGTATTTCCAACTGCTTACGAAGTGGAGAATTCTTAGTAACGACAGGAGCCAAATTTTCTAGCTGCTTGAGTGGGGAGCGAGGTGGGGAGTCCCTATTAACAACACAATCTCTTGACGGTCCTGGTTGAGGTTCAAGGTTGTCGCAGTCTCTCGATGGTCTTGGTTGAGGTTTGCGAGTGTCTTTAGTTTTTTCTTTTTCAATCTTAGAATTTTTTTGGACTATTTGCTTCCTTTGTGTCGTTTCTTCCGTCTCATCGTCTAAATTCACTTGCGAATGGTCAAGCACTATGTCGTTTTCGGGATTTGGGCCGAAATCATCTTCGGAAAATTTTTCTGGATTTATTGGCCAAATACCAGCAGCTTGAAAGCCAGAAATTCCTTTGTCCATCGTAGCAACTTTTATGTATGCCTTGTTAAAGATGGATGCCAAGTCGTAATGCGTTATTTTTTCAAAGGCTTTGGTTCTTATGTGTAAGTCACATTCCCGATTAAACGCATTTTTCAAAGGGCCATACAAAGTCAGATCGAGTGGTTGCATGCGGTGGGACGTGTGGGGTGGAATGGACAGCATTACAATTCCATGATCTTTGCAGTAATTATAAACTACCAGTGAAATGTGGCTTGAATGATTGTCGAGTATCAAAAGCACGGGGTCTTCTAGGCAGTAGGCTTGCTTTGATATATGACTATTAAAATGTTTTATCCATTCCAAGAAAAGCCCTTCATTAATCCAGCCATTTTTTGAACAGTGATAAACTGCTCCAGGAGGACCATTTTTTTGCAAATGTGGATTCATCCTTTGTCTCGGGAAAATAAACATCGGTGGGATATATTGACCCAAAGTACTCATGGCACAAACAACCGTTACAGTTTTTCCCCGTTCCCAGGATATCGCAGATCCTACTTGTTTTTGTCCCTTGGGTGCAAAAATCTTAGCTGGCTTTTGAACGGTCGAAATCCCGGTCTCGTCGACGTTGAAGATTCGACTTTCTAGAAATTTATATTTGTCCATAACTGATATCAGATTTTGGATCCACTTCAATTTTGTTAAATGCAGAGATACGATTTAAGCTAGTACCTTCCGGTTGCCTAAGGCTAATAGTAGTGTTGCGCCTTAAAAAAAGAGTTAGCCAATCTTCGCCAGCCAATTTCTTTTCGGAATCGAAAGGGTGCTTAATATTGTTTTCTTCGGCGAAACTGTAAGCTAGTCGGCGCAGTTCAATCGGAGTAGTCCCAAAGAAAACTTTTGCCAATTTTTGGACGTGTGTTGATAAAGCTTCTTCTTGGGCTTTGTTGAATACAGGATTTCTTCCCAATTTTGCTGCATCCGAATTGTTAGACTTTAGTCGGTCACGTAAAGTAGACTCAGGAATCCCAAAGGCTCTTCCTACTTCCCGAATAGCTCGTCCATCTCTTATAGCATCAATTGCTGCCCGCAACTGTTCTGGAGACCAGTTGCACTTTTGCGACTTTCGTTTATATTTTCTAGTCATGTTATCTAAAAAAAATACAGATTATTAACTTAACATAATAAGTAATATGGGGCAATACCGCGCCCACACGTTATTGCCCCGGAACTATCGCGCGGCATTCCCCCAAACGACATGGCGCCATTTCGCCCCGACCCACACAAAAAGTAAAAACTTTGGAGGGTTATAAATAAAGGAAAATAAGGCTGTTAATATACAAAAACGTATAAGACAACAACTGTACACATAAAAGATATACAAAACTTTGGCCACTTACCTAAATTTTCGTAAAAGTTAGATGAATATCAGTTAAAACACGAGTTTACATGAAATAGGTATCAAACGACTAATTAGGCGCCTGCAAAAAGAATAAGTACTTTAAAATTATCTTAAGAGATGGCAGCACTTATTGAACGGTTATTGGGAACGTTCAGTAATTGTACACTGCCGTGCGCGGTATTCCCCGGTGCGCGGTATTTGACCGGTCTCCCCTACACTTAATTTTTCATTCCTGACAACTAATATAATATATAACATCGTCAAAATATTACATGCATCATCACTTCACCAAATGACGCTCGGCCTGAAGATGACCTGATAAGGTCGAAATCGATAGCCGCAATAGTAATAAAAAAAAAACGTGTTTAAATAGTATATTAAGATACAAGTGTATAATCAAGTCTTTAAAGCACGCGCAACGAGTTTAAGGGCACGACGCAAAGCTGAGTGCCTTTAACGTTGCAAGTGTTTTAAAGACCAATTATACACGTGTATCTTATAGTATTTTTTATTATACCTGCAGTATAATTTAAAAATAGGAAATACGATGAAGTCATATTGACGTTATACTCGAATACATGTCTAATTAAGTGGGCTGGGTGTTCGTAATTTCACGATTGCCATGGAAATGTCACTTGACGTTTGCTTATAAAAATCATCGTCTTTGTGAATTAAACGATGTCCGTTGAAAAAGATAATACACCGTCCATTAAATCGATTGTTGTAAAATCTAAACAAACGTTGGTAGGTGTAAAATCCAACTCCAGTAAAGCCTATTATAAAGAATATGAAAAGTTGTTTCCATGGATGAATAGGAAGTTACTTACGAATACAGTCTTAAATGCATCCATAATGCTGGCATATATGAAGGAAATGTCAAAGGTATTTAAATCTTCTATATTTTGGTGCATTCATTTTGGTGCGATTAAAAAGTGGAACAGATTTGGAAGCATCAAAACGTTTGTGAAAGCTTCAACCATAGGTACAAAAGCCAAAGAAATGTTCTGCATTTACAGAAAGCGACCTAAGAGGATTTTTTATTTCATCCAGATGACAGTTTCAAAAGTCATACTTGAAGACTTAGCAACTTTACGTGTGTTTTAAAGGCCCTTTTTCGCACGCATTTGAGTGTTTAAAACGGAGATTGTGATTCAGGTATAATAAAAAAAGATTTTCTTTAATTCCCAATCCTCATCATACAACACGTTTAAAAGAACGATGGAACAATACATCAATCGAAAGCATCTTTGCCACTTTTAAGGCATTCATCACTCTCTTCATCCTTTTCCCAATCAGAAGAAGAATCCTTTAAGATGACTTCTGCCACGTCTTTATCCGAAGAATGTTCTTCAAAAACAGTCTTCTTTTCATCAAATACTTTCTTCTTCACAACCTTCTTTGCCATCCAGAGGAATGGCCGTACGCGTTTGTCAGTTGATCTCTAGCAGTGCCTGTTTTAATTGGGTTGGAAATCTTGATAGACAACCCTTCTGATGTTGAACATTGGAAATCCTAATTAAAGATAATCGCTTATAATACCACGAGTGCATTCATTGTAATCAATATAGTATATTCTGATTATAATGAACAAGAGTAGTATTCGTTAGATTATATAATGAATAAACAAATTAAAAATATAATTTTTACCATGCTATAATACGAAAAACACGGAATCAATACATTAGTAACAAAAAAGTTTAATGGATTGATATGGAAAACAGTTATTATAATAAATGTTGGTTACATTATTATCTTCATTATTTATCTTCATTAATATCTGAAAAAATGGTATCTTTAAAAGGATTAAATTAATAAGTATTTTTTCTGAAGGAGTTCGGCTGTAATATTCCATAATGTTTTCATGACACTTTGTTTATAGTCGGTGCGATCTGTTTTTTTCATATTCAATCCTAAAGTTAAGACACTTGAAAGTTCCTCGTTTGAAGTTTGACTAGTTAAAACGTAATTCCTGTGTTTGCAAAATTGCGTTCCAAACGTACCTAAGGGGTATTTCGTAGGGATTACGAATTAAACTATTTTCTGAAACTACTTTAGAAACAACTACTTTCGTCTCTAAAAATGGTGAGGTCTCTAGTGAGGAAAGTAAAGAACAATTGCTGCGTTAATGATATAATGACATTTATGTGTCAAACTTCATTATTGCATACGATGATTTTTTCAATTTTCATTGTTTCAGAAAAACGGAGAGACTAGATCGGTAAGAGTTGGTGAAATTTTAAGCGCCACTAACTTTTGCCGTGATAGGGAACCGTGCACAAAAATTAAAAAATAGCCCTCTGGTGGTCGAAGAAGCTAAAGCTATAAAAAGAAGAGGACAAATAAGAAACACAAATTAAGAGGAGCATAAAATAATGTTTAATCTCCCCTGGGACTTCTTGAAAATACAAAATAAATTATAACTCGGATAATAAAGGCAACTTTGTTGTAAATGTAACAACAGAATTTAACAAAACGAATCAGCATTGACGGCATTTCATATTGTCTTTGGCGCGTGTACGTACGATTTTGTACCTACGTTTATACTTTTTACAATTTAGTGTGAGCCAGTGACTAGTAAGTTTTTTAGTTGATTCTAGATGGATGAATTCGTGGGAAATAAATTAACGGAGTGGGGGCTGTATAATGATTTACAGGAGCGGTTTAACGGTAAGTGACTAAAAAATTACATTAGGTATGTCATTCAAAATGGAGTTTTATCAATTTTAGCGCAACTAGTGGATGAAGAAGTTTGGATGAGAAGAAAATTCTTGAATAAGTATAATTCCTATCAGATCTTCAAGGTAAATTGTACAATCGAATTTTCTATTTCGCCTCAACTCTTATTTTACTAATGTACATACATATATAAAGTGGAGATTTCTGCTTACTAATTGAAATAGTATTTCTCTGGTAAGGTTGAAATGAAAAAATATCTGCTTATTTGAAATCAACTTTGTTTGTTTTTATTTGATGACGCTATTGATTTGCTTTTCAAATTCTATTACTTCTTTATGCCAGATTTGGGTAATTTATCAATGGTAATTGTATTTTCGCCTATGCTTCATCTCCAGCACATACAATAACAGTGTGCTCTACGAAATCATCGGTAACCGATATATCAACAGAAAAATATCTCGGATAGTGTACTCCGTCAGTTATAGGAAGATTTATATAAACACTAATGTCAATATTTTAACCGCCCTTTATGTGTATCGTAAGAAGTAGTGGGGGTATCGCCGCCATTTTGACCTTAACGAGCGCAGTAAATCAGTACGCTTCTAACTGTACAAAGCGGAGCATCGTAAGTTCACGCGTTGTCCAGTGATAGCTTAAAATCATGAGTGCCGCAATAGACAACTCCGCCAAGTGTGAAGTGCGTGGTGATATAAGATTTCTTTAAAACTTTAGAAGCGGCTAAGAAGGGCAATTCAAAACAAGTGTCGTGTCCTCCGGACATTTGGTTGTGCACAAGTGACCTTTCAAAAAAGTTTGATTGGGACATTTTTGGCCATCCCCCGTATAGCCCGGACTTGGCTCCAAGTGATTTCGTGGTTTGCGTCTCAGCGATTCAACAATGACGAAGAGCTTCAAAACGCCCGACGTCAACAGCGATGAATTTATAGTTTGCATCCAATAATTCCAAATTTGCGAAATTGTTCAGCATATCTTCTTAGAGATTGGACATTTGGTTTTGGTAAAACAATTTTCGACAAACTCTCCCAAATGATGTCACTGGTAGAATGAACGATTTCATGCACCGTTGGAATTTTACCTACCTCAAGAAAACAGTCAACGTTCTCGCATGCCAATACAATCTTTCCAACGTATATTTTGTTTAGTGAAATATGGGCTGCCAATTTGTACGAGCTGTTCAAATTTCCCCGGCGTCATTCGCAAGTACTTAAAAAATTTTTCCGGTCTTCCGGATCTTCCAGTAAACGATCATACAACAAATGGAATGTTAACTGAACTGAATCGATCCGTTTGTTCCCTCACCAAAAAAGACAATTTGTCGCGCCGCGCCGCTTATGTGAGAATTGAACCCAGCAGTGACGCGGTGCTACGCGTCGCTTATGTGAGAATCGGGCTTTAGTTTTTAGATGTATATAATATAATTCTGGGGCTTGGTTCTAAAAGGGCCAATGTCAATTATTTTGCATATTGGCCTATACGTACTACGGAACTACATTCCAGCTAAATTTATATGTGTAAAAAGGGCCAATGTCTATATGCAATAGGAAAACAGATACAAAGTACTAAAAGGTCAAAGTTGTTTTGTGATAGAACAGATTTCTTGTAGTAAAAAGGGCCAATGTAGACATAGGCCCGGATACGAACAATTACTTTTGCTTCTAAATGGGCCAAAGTTGACATTGGCCTTTTTATTATAAAACTTTACCGCATGATGGCGTCACAGATGGCGTACATTGGCCGATTGACAACCTATACTTAACCTAGAATTCGTTTATTGCAAGTTGCAACAGAGGCTTTTATTCCGGGCTTCGGTCGATTTTATGCGTGCAAGTATGTTGTCTCGTGGTAAACAATTAGTGAAAATGTGTTGTGAGGCAGAAATGTCAAGTAAAGGTAAGATTTGTGATGAAATTATAATTTAGGCTGGACGGATTGGTAATTGCTTACACGTAAGAATTACAATTAGCAGTACCATTTTTATTACAGAATCCATGAATAATACCGTCTATACTCCTAATCTTGACACTCATTCAGAGAGAGCAGAGGATAGAAAAGCATCAGGTAACCCCTCTGGTTTATGTTGAGAACTAAGGTAAGTAACTTGTAGAGTTTTGGTTTTGTTGCAGAAATCCAGAGAAATGCAGATTCTAGTAACAGTACTGTA